AGCTGTGTAACCACTTCCCCTTCCTCTCTTCAGCCTTCCAAAGCATCAGCCTTCCTCGGCCTGGTGCCCTTGTACTCCGAGTCTTCTGCCTGGAAGGTTCCTTCTCCTTCTCTGCAGGGCTGCTCATCCTCCAGGTCCCCATCCACATGACGTCCCCACCTCTCCTCAGACAGGGCTTCGCTGCTCCTTCCCCAGCCTGAGGCTGCGCTTGGCCCCTGGTGGCACTCCCCCCACCCTCTAGACGCAGCCACCTCGTTCATTTTCTGAGGCCTTTGCAGCCCCTTCTCTTCTAGAATGTGGCCCTGGAGGAGCGGGTGTATCCCGGACCCTAGCTCAGGGCTTGGTGCACGGGGACGCTCGGTAAGTCCCAGCTGAGGAATGAACGGGTGGTCGTGGAAGCCACGCGTGTGCGGCCGGGAGCTGCTCTTCACATGGGTGGGAGGGAAGTTCTGTTATCATCGTTGGAAGGGAAGGAGCATGAGGCTCTGGAGGCAGTGAGTTGTTCAATGTCATGTGACTACTAAGTGGGCACTGGACGTAAACACAGAACTTCCTGCTCCAGATCTTACAGTCTTCCCAGGACACTTGGGGGGGAAGCTGCTTGGAGCCCCACCCACCTCAACTTGGGGCTCCCAGTTCCCATGCAGGCTGTGGGGCTCCTACTGTCAGCTCTTCTAGGTGACCTGCACCCAAGGCATTTTCTTTCTGTCCCAAGCACAGCGCAGACTGGAAGTCCCTAGGAGGAAGACACATTCGTCCAGTGTGTGAAATTAAAAGATCTATATGTCTCTGCCCCCAGTTCCTGACTTACAGCTTCGAGACCCTTGTAGAACACGGTGCTGGGAGAATCTTTTGTTCTTATGTTGGGTCTTAGACCTCGGTTCCTGACGCAGCTCTCAGATCCTGTGGATTTTCCTGGGCGATGGTGATGTCATCAGATGGGCAAGCCCTGGTCAGGAGCTTGGTACGTTCAACCCCATCCACCCTCCAGGGAGGAGAGAGGGGCCAGAGATGGAGTTAACAATCCATCATGCTGACACAAGGACGCCTCCGCCAAATTGTAGGGTTTGGAGATTACAATCTCCGAACGTGTGGGGTGCTGGGCAGGTGGTATACAGATGACAGGCAGGTCCCACGTCCCTCCACCCGGAGGGGCATGCAAGCCATGAAGAAAGCACAGGAGAGTGTGATAGACCTTCTGATTTTATTTACCCTAGTCCCAGAAGTGACATACCATCGCTTCTGTCATATTTGATTAGCCAGAACCAGGACGAGGTCTGCTCACGTTCAACAGGGCAGGGTATGAGTTCCACGAGGTGGGCCGACTGTGGCCAACTTAGATGTCTGTCTGCCACACCAGCTCACAGGCACCTGCCATCTGAAGCCTGGGAAGCAGCCCTGTACTTTTTTCTTTTTTTTTTTTTAATTTTTTAATATTTATTTTTTAGTTTTCGGCGGACACAACATCTTTGTTTGTATGTGGTGCTGAGGATCGAACCCAGGCCGCACGCATGCCAGGCGAGCGCGCTACCGCTTGAGCCACATCCCTAGCCCCAGCCCTGTACTTTCTCACAAGTTTTGTAAGGGGAGCTCCTGATGGGGTCCAGGAGGCATGCACAAAGATGTCCATTGCAATATTGAATACAAGAGCAAAACCTGGACACACCTCTCCATCCACCAGCCAATAACTTCCAAATAACTAATGACATATTCATGCTCTTCAATAATGAAACAGAATGTGAAAAAGGCTATGACCTATTTTTTAGTGAAAAGATAAGTTGTAGAACAACATGTATAAGTATCGTGTCACTTAAGACTCAACAAATAATATCTGAAAGATTCCCAGGCAACAGGTGATAGGGCTCCATCTGGGGAGATAAAGAAGGCTCAAAGGGGCTTTCTCTTTATTTGAAAGGCCAGTTAACACCGCGGATTCTGACAGACTACTTGGGTTTAAAGCCTGTCTCTGCAGCTTATTAGCCGTGTGACATTGGGCAAAGTACTTAATCTCGTTGAATCTCAACTTCTTCACCTTCAAAAGAAGGATGATAATAATACCAAGCACCTCAGACACTTTTGTGCACACAGGTTTCAGTAGAGCTTTGGACGTGTTGGGCATCTCTTCCCTGTTCCAGGTCAGAATATTTGTGGGTGGCTCGAAATCCCCTGGCCGGTGGAGGCGGTGGTGCATTTATACAATGGGGTTCAGCAAATACTACAAATGAGGGCTGTCTTTCTTTCTTTCTTTCTTTCTTTCTCTCTCTTTGTTTCCTTTTAGAATCAGTTTTTAAGCATTTTCTAGTACATTCCCAGCACTCCTAAGCACCGACACAGGCTAACTATCATTATCTGCAATGCTCTGATTTTCGTAAGGAGGATTGATATATTGTCTGTGCAGTACGTGTGGCTGAGTCACCACCTAGACAACAACAGGGCAGCCATGTGGAAAGGAAGCCTTGGTGGGGGCTTGGAGGCGTGGGAGGACGACAAGGCCCTGTGACAGGGGCTCAGTAACCTTCGGAGTGGGAGGAGGAGCGGATGGAGTGTGGCTCAGCTCCCCACAGGTGGTGACTCACGGCCTAAAAATACCCCAGAGCTGGGGGTGTGGGGTGCCAGGGGCCCGTCGCAGAGTTTCTCTTCTGCAGCCTCCTCAGAACCCGACCTCCTAGATGTGCTTTGGAGGTCAGCTACGGTAAAGAGGCCTGAATGCAAAGTTCCCTGAAGAAGCCTGACCCGTGTCCCTCCCCAGGGAGCACACGTGGGCAGTGTCAGTTGGGTCCCTGTTGGATTCATTGGGCAACAACACAGCCAAAGGGAAGGCCATTTTATTTATACTGGAGTTTCTCAAGAAAATCCTAAGGTTTAAAAAAACAGCGTTCAAACTCCTCTTTCCCCAACTCTGGGTCTCGGCATTGAACACCGCAGGCAGCTTTGTCCCTGGGCCTTTCTCTGCTGTCTCTGTGCTGCTGTCCCTCATGTCCAAAGACCCAGCTCAAGGGCCAGCTCAACGCACAGCCCACCCTCCTGCTCACCAGGGCTTGCAATTTGGTGAGTCTTTACCAGTAACCTTCTTAAGTAGGATAAGAGAAGGGACTAGAACAACCTGATGAAGTGGAATGGCATAGGAAGGACGAGGCTGATGAGAGGAAATCGAGTACCGTGCACAGATGAAGAAGAGACTGGACAAACTGTTAAGTGCACGTCCAAATAGGGCACAATACATCCTACTACTGTGTATAATTATAATACACCCATAAAAAAATTTAAATTAAGGAAAAAAAACAGATGTCTTTAATTAAACTTATCTCACATGGAGGGGGTTGCAAAAGAAAAAGTATTTTGAGTGGTGGTCGAAAATGTTCAAAATCAATATTTTAGTAGATCTTCCCCAACTATTTGGATCGGAAAACTAAAAGTACACCCCAATCCCCTTACAGCCAGGGTTCCAGTGTAACTCAGTTTCCACCAATTCGATGCTACCATGTAACACATGGAAACCGGAAGGAAGCAGAGGCCTAATTTCGGCTGCTCCTATTTCTGCTGGTGACCTGAGTCCTGAGAGCCAGGCTACTAGGTTTGGCGTCCTGCATGTCAACTGTCACTCACAGCGAGTGGGTAGAGGGCATGAACCCCAGAGGCATGGGACACAGCGGCGGCCGAAGGTGCTGGTGGGCTGTGTGACAGGGAGCTCTGGGCCCAGGCAGGGATTCTGTGGCGTCCTGGGGTTTTCGTGTTTTGCCAGGACAGACCTCAGGCGGTCAGCATGGTTCTGGTGTCTCCTGCATGTTGTGTCAGCCAAGAGAGGACACCCAGGGCCCACCCTCTGAGCAGTGGCTTCCTAACTTCTTACCCTTCTGAGGATAGAAGAGGTGAGCTTCCTGGTGAATCAGATCTGGGGCCCCCTCCTCCAGCCCCACAAGAACCCAATTTCCTGTATTAAATCCTCCCTGGCTTAAGATAGCTACATCCATTTCTTTTACCTATAATTAAACTTTGGGCATTCCAATTGGCCCACATTCCTGTTTTTAAAATTAGATCGACTTAGAGTTTCCTATTTCTTCATTACTCATAACTCAGATTCTGCTCAAAGAAAGGCCTAGAAATAGACCTGGCAAGCAGGTATGTGCGTGATGAGGAAGAGATTGCCAATGCCTGCTTTATTTTTTCATCTCCCTTTTTTGGGGGGAAAAAGTCAACTCAGGTGTTTTCTGATAGTTACGTAGGATGTATGGGCTGATCTGCTTTTTGTTCTTTCTTCTTTCTCTTTCAGCCCATTTCTGTCTTTTAAACCAACCTCCTTTTTTCAACCCCTCAGAGCATTTATTCTAGAATTTGATGTCTCCGGGTTCTAATACTCACATAAAAGCCAATCAAGAATATTATCTAATGTGCTATAGTGTGTGTGTGTGTGGACAGTGGGAAGCTCGAGGTCACACGGTGGGTTACATGTGGCTGACCCAGGGGTCAGGGACATACCTGGGGTTCATACTGAACAAGTGTGTCATTTATCTGAAATTCAGATGGAATCGGGCCTCCTGTGTTTTATTCATTGAACCTGGCGACCCTGCTGGGATGCTCCTGGGGAAGCAGAGGAATAACATTTAATCTAAGACTTAATAAACACCTTCATTGATAAAAACAAAATATTAGGTTACTATAAATAAGTCCAGAGGGGCCAGAGGCTTATAAATAAGTCGTCCCTGGAGCATTTGGATCAATTCCTGATGCAAGGCCTCCCTCCAACAGGCGGAGCAGGGGGTGCGCGAGAGGCCCCGGACCACCTCGAGGCTGGAAGGGCCACCTCCTGCTTCCTTGTCTGACCGGCGCACAGCCCTTGCTAGTTGCCTTTCACGCTCAATATCTCCTTGCACATTCTCGCGTGGAAAGTAGGTCACAACAACTGTCATTATAGATGTGGAAACTGAGGCTCAGAGAGGCAAGTGTCCAGCCCAGGTCACCCAGGGAGGCAGCCCGAGGGCCAGGTAGCAGCTCAAGTCCGGCTACCCGCGGCCTCCTGCTCCTCTGCCCCGTGCCTCTGTGCGGTCCGTGAGGTCGGGAGAGGGAGGAGGCCCCGGGGGCAGCCGCTGGCCCCGGTGCCGGTCGTACCTCCTCTGGAGCCGGGCGCGCAGGTGGCGGATTCTCCTCGCCTCCTGCGCAGGGAAGAAGGCGGCGGCGATGGCGTGCCGCAGGCGCCGGGCGTAGGTCTCCAGCAGCACCGTGGAGCCGGCCAGCAGCTGCAGGCTCGCGGCGGCCAGCGCGGCGGAGTCCTGGGGGCGCTGGGCGGGCAGCAGCCGGCAGCCCGCCGAGGTGAAGCGCAGGTCCCACCGGAAGCAGTGGCGGGCGGAGAGGAAGGGGCTCTGGGCAGGGGGCCGGTTGAGGAGGAAGGGGACGAAGTCCAGGACGCTGTAGGCCGCCTTGAAAGGAGAGAAGGGGCAGTCAACCGCGGGCTCTGGCACTGCCCGCCCCGCCCTGCGAGGCCTGGGACCACCGCCCAAGTTCCCGGCCCTCATCTGCAAAATGGGTGCGGAGATGACCCCCACTTCCTGGGAGGCCAAAGGTGACTGGGGCCGGCACGCAGTTGACGCTTTTGCCAATTAAAGAGCATCTGACAGGTGTCACCATGATGACGATGAGGATGATGACGACGACCTTTTAGCAGAATGCTTTAGAGAAGGCAAATTAATGCTCAAGATCATTGACCCTCCGCTAAGCCCCTAGTGACTATTCTGATGTACTGTCTCCTCAAATGTGAGTGAGCCTATGAGGTGCAGGCCAACAGGAGCCTCATTTAAGAGATGGGGAACCCAAAGCCACTGGGTGGGTTGTCATGTGGCCAACTCGGGGGCAGTCCCAGCCAAGAAGGGCGGTCCCAATATCCTGCTCAGAAGCCTTAGACCCTCCTGTGTCCACAGGTGTGCCAGAGGCAGGAGGAGCGGCCGGCAGCCAAGGCCAGCCCCGGGCTTGGAGGCAGCTGCTTAGTGGGCTCTGGATCTCCCCTCAGGGAGAACATCTCAGTAGCTTGGCAGGCAGGGTGTGGGGTCTCACACTGCTGTATTTTTAGGGGATCATGAAAATGTTTTCATTTTGCTTTAAGTTAGAAGAAAAAAAAATGAACTTTTATGCCAAACATTATTTTCAATATGTAATGTATTTGCATCCATTTATTTAAATTTTTTTTTCATGGGGGAAGGAACCCATGAAAGTAGCAAGCAGCTTGGTTCTGCCACTTTGGGTTTGATGAATTTGGGGGGAGTTCCCCCAACCTCACTGAGCCTTGGTATCCTTCTCTGTAAATGAGGGTGATGATAATAATTCCTATCTCAAGGATCATGGTGGCGATTAAGGAAACTACCTTATTTCATCCATTCTGAGATGCTCTTTTTTTTTTTTTTTTACTTTTTAACGTCTTTAAAATCAGGACGTGTCTAAAATCAATATGACCAATAACTGCTCTCAGCAGCCACAGCGGGTCACAATTTGCGTACAGGTATCCCTTTAGCCTGAGTGCCCACCCCAAGGTTTTAGAAAGTGATGTGCATTCCTGGTCTGTGTAGAGTTTGACTGCCATCTCAAAATGTCTCCAAAAGAAACTCTGTTTCAGAAGTGAATGGTTGGACATCACTTGTCTCTGTTCATATATGATACACAGCCAGTGTAACCCCACGTGATGTTCAGCCACAAGAATGGGATCCTAATTAGAGTAAATTCTACACCATGTATGTATAATACGTCAAAATGCACTCTACTGTCATGTATGTCTAAAAAAGAACAAATGAAAAAATTAAAAATGATAATTAAAAAAAGTGAGTGGTTATGTCTACTGAAACGAAGTCCCGAGCAGCAAGCCACAAATATATTAGTGAAGCAAGTATTCATGTTGAGGGATGAACTTTAGCCTATATTTTCTTGCCAAGTGAGAACCCACGGGAAGGAGGTTTGTGCTAAGTAAGGCTGAGTCACGAACCCCTGTGTGAGGGCCTGCCACACCCTGAAGCGCTCAACGAGGGCAGAAGGAGCTCCCAAAGCCCTGGCAGAGACGAGGCGGCTAAAGCCAGGAGGAGGGCTGGGCCCAGATGCTCCCCAGAGGGTCAGAGGCACCAGGGTCAACACTCGCAGAGACATGGCCCAAGCTTGGTCAACAGTGCTGGAGAAATAGAGGGACATCACCAATGCTCCTGAAGACACCGAGATGTTGGCCAGAAGCCTGGGATACTTGTGACTTGGCCAGCGTCATTCAGGTTTGGGCTTGGGTGGAAGGACATCTTAGGAAAATTAACCAATTACTTTCTATTTTTCTTTTATGTGTACATGAGAGGAGATGTGGTGAAACAAATCTTTGTTAAATAAAAGTGAATTACTTTCACATGAGTATAATTGGAAGTCTAAGTGAAAACAAAGCATTGAGTCAGGTTTAATGGATAGCATTTCCTCTCTTATTGATATATCAAACAAGAGTGTGACTTGGAATTGATAGCATCTTAGATATGATGAATGAAGTCTACGTCAATCAGGGAACACTCTTAGACCATTCCCTGACACATTTCTTTCCTGTGATCTGTGGTAGGAAATGCATTTTACAGCATCTTCCAAGCACAGATTATATTATAATTGATGAAAAGTTTCACAAAATAATACATAGCCTTATTACCTGCAATATACTCTCATAATTTTCTAGTTTATTTCATTAAAAAAGATAACTTTTTATCATGATCACCTAAACTGATTTCTTGCAATTCAAAAATAATTTTATAATATATAATAAGTATTTGATAAATATAAGCTCTTAATATTATTAGCTCAGGGTCTGACATTTGGGTGTTTTTTTATGCAATAGGCTTTTGTGTGTGATCTCACTATTAAAAATAAAAAATACAAACTGAACATGGGGGCACATGCCTGTAATCCCAGTGTCTCGTCAGGCTGAGGCAGAAGTATCGCAAGTTTAAAGCCAGCCTCAGGAGATTAGTGAGGCCCTAAGCAACTTAGCAAGACCCTGTCTCAAAAATAAATAAATATATAAAAATAGAAAGGGGCTAGCGATATGGCTCAGTGGTAAAGCATCCCTGGGTTCAATCCCTAGTACAAATAAACAAACAAATATAAATAAATAAAAAGAAAAGATTGGAAACCACAAATCCTGATCCGAAAGTAAATACAACCTTATTTGTGGGCTCTGTGGTCTGTCCTGCGTCTCCTTGACCATGCCGCCTTTGCAGAGCAACCATGGATAATACACAACAGATGGGAGGCTATGTTCCAATAAAACTCGATTTACAAAATCAGGAAACCAGCTGGATTTGCTCTGAGAGTCACAGCTGACTGACTGATGGTCTAGGCCATTCCTATCCAGGCGTGAGCTATTAGTAACAGCTACTATTTAATAAACCTCTTTTGTGTGGCATGTAACTCAAATGCAGGAAATGAGGCTAGAGTGTTTGGATACTCCTGCAGGGCAAGTGATTTTCAGGGTTCTGGGTCTTGGCATCTGCACCTACAACAGGAGGTGAAAATAGAACCACTTTTTAGGCCTCCTGTGGGGATCAAATGGGCTCATTTGCTGTTGCCCAGGCCACATGGCTTATCCAAGGCCTATGTTTTGCAGGCAAGTAAATGCAATTGCATGTCAGGTGTTTTTGGTTGTTGTTTCCAGTACTGGGACTGAATGCAGGGATGCTCTACAACTGAGCTGCACCCCAGCCTTTTTATTTTGAGACAGGTCTTACTAAGTTGCTGAGGCTGGCCTTGAACTTGCGAACCTCCTGCCTCATCTTCCTGAGTAGCATTACAGGTGTGTGTCACTACGCCCAGGTCTGCAAGTCCAGGGGTCAGTGAGGCTGCCCCTTCCCTCCAGGAACTGACCTAGGTCATCTCCCCTGCCAGCACTTACATCATACTTAACCATAAGCGTGACAGGCACAACTGGCAACTTCTGAGCCCAATCCACTGCCGCCTGTGCCAGCAGGAAGGCCATGTGGTCTGTGGCCACTGCCACAGCTGTGGCCACCAGGAGCAGGGAGAGAAGCCCCAGCCTCAGGAGACAGTGCAGCAGCTCCTCCCGGGACAGCTTGGGCCGGGCTATTCCGAGCAGCCACGGGGGTGGAGGAGCCACTAGGTGGGTGGCCTGGGCCTGGGCCAGTTGCCGGGTCAGCTGTGGTGTCTCATAGATGTTGTCAAACCGCAGGTCAGTCAGGTAGCGGTGGAGGTACCAGGCAGATTCCACCAGGAGGCCCAGCATGAACATCCCCGTGACCACCCGCTGAGTCCCCAGTGCTGCTGCCTGGGCCAGGGACTCCAAGGCAGAGAAGTCCTCCAGGACCCCCTGAGTGACCCTGAGCATGTGAAGCCGGAAGGCAGAGCCATTTCCCTGGCTCTCAAATGTCAGGCCCCGGCTGCCCGATCGGCTGGTGGGGCCCAGTGCTGTGGACGCATTGCGCAGCTGGTGAGTGGTATTGAGCAGGCTGTCCAGGGAGCCCTCGGTGACGCACCTAAGCACCTGTCCAGCTGCACCCATGTTGGCCAAGACGTTTGGCACCACGGCAACGGCCAGGGTGGCAGTACTGTAGGACAGGAGCAGCCGGCGTCCCTGTTCCGTGCCCAGGGTGGGCACACTGAGCGCGAACAGGCAGCGGACCGGGGGTACCAGGCCCAGGCCCAGGAAGACCAGAAGTCCACACACAGTGGCTATGATGCCCGAGGGTCCTGAAGGATAAACCCACGAAGAGACCAGCCGATGACAAACCAGTTCTGCGGCAGCAACAGCCAGGCAAGCACAGAGGAGGAGCTGGGTCAGCAGCTGGCCACAGCTGGCTGGGACAGACTGGGAGAAGGCATCCCAGGCAGCCTGCAGTGGGTCAAGGGCCTTGCGGATCCCCAATTGCCAGAACCTCCACCTGGACACAAGGAAATGGGAGGACCCTCCATCAGGGCGCGGGTGGGCTTGTCACCGTCCCTGCCCCTCAATGCCAAGGCCTGCTAGTCGACGCCACCCTTTTGCTACAGAGGCAGGCCAACTTTCCAGATGGGCCAATCAGAGTTAACCACTCCCACCCACGTGACAACGCTGAACCAATCACAGCCCTCCCCAGGCTGGGTCTCGCGGGAGTGGTGGGCGAAGAGCCCAGTCCTGCGCAGCTCCTGAGGGTGGGGGGGCGCCTGCCCGGGCTGCCGGAGCCCGGAGCCTAGTGAGGACAACTGGCCTGAAAGAAGGAGTCAGGGAGCCGGAAGCCCAGACAAAGGGAGAAGGATCAAGGAGTGGGAGGGGCAGAGACGGAGACAGAAGCTGTTTCCCTGAGCTCATCGTCCTGTGGCCCTGCCCTTTATCATCTGGGGCAAGGAAGGAGGGCCGTTAGCTGGTGGCAGGCAGGAAGCGGGTAATGGTGGAGATGGACAAGGCTGCACACCTGTGGAGAACGTCACCTGAAACACGCCGGGCAAGGATGGAGGGCATCGCCTCTGGTCTGTCCCGATTCAAACCCCTGCTCCACTGCTCACAGCTGTGTGGCCTTGTTCCTTAAGCCCCTGTGCCTCAGTTTTCTCATCTGTAGAATGTGCCTCCTAGGGTCATTCTGGTCACATCATAAGCACCACCTGAGCTATTATCTGTCATTAGCGGGTCAACACCTCCAGGGCAGGGGCTTTGTATCTTTGGGTCACTGATACATTCCGAGGGCCTGGAATAGTGTCTGCTAAGTATTCACAAAGATATGGTACTCATAAATCTTCACGGAGCGTGGCAGGATGGCTCCTGTTTGCTCAGATCAGCAGGAATCAAGGCCAGCAGTGAGGGCAGGATGCTGGAGGAGGTAATGAATGCTGAAGGTAAAGAAAAGGTAAGACATAATTGTCCCTGTGTTGGGCACCGAGGTGAATTAGGTCATGGGCCACACACAGGACAAGTTCACAGTTAAATTGGGGAGATGTGAACAGGACATTAGAGCGTAAGTCCACCATAAAAGGACTCTCAGGAATGGTCAGCCTGGGTCTGCACTGGGGTGGAGAAGGTGGAGGGTCATGTTTACCTGGGAGAGTCAGGAGGGCTTCCTGGAAGAGGTGATATTTAAGCTAGGGCTGGGAGAACAAGTGTCATTTCTTACGTGGGGAAAGGAGGCTGGGTGTCCCGAACAGAAGGAGCAGAATATGAGAAGGTCCTGCACTCTGACTGCTCCCTTAGGAAACAGGGTTGGGGACTTGAACACGCCGTGACGCGTGAGGCCTGGGGCACTGGACCAGAGGCCACATCCTGGGGTCCCAAGGGCTGAATCCAGTGTGCAACTTTGCTTTGTTTTGGTCCACGCCGTGGGTGTGTGAGAACTACCGTCATCTGGATACAGGAAGTTTCACATTGAAATTGGGATTTCTAGCTTCTCTTGAGAAATGAGAGCATCTGGGTCAGGGCTCCTGCCTTTGCAGCAGGTGGCCAGAGCTGAGGATCCACAGCCCCCTTTGACAGGGATGCACCCTTCCAGGCTGTGCCCCACCCTTCAAGGTACAGGACTGAGGGACCCTGCCCAGCACAATCCCATCTGGCTCTTGAAGGCATTTGGATGTGGGACTAAACGCCCCTTCTACCATCTAACTAGTGTTTGGAACAGGGCAGCTGATGAAATACCAGCTAATCATATAATCATAAAAACCAGTACGAGGTCGCCCTGGGAGCCAAGTTCCATGCTGGGAATTATAAATGACAAGGACACCAGGTGACATTTACCGAGTGCTCCCTTGAGCCAAGCCCTTACTCAACGCTCACAACAGTTTCATAGACACCATTATCATTCCCACTTCACAGATGGGGAAACTGAGGCTCAGAGAGGGGGAGGGTGGACCCAAGGTCACACAGCCAGGGAGTGGAAGACCTTGAGGGCTTATACTCCTCCCAACAGATTGCTGATCTTTTCTCACCTGTGGCCCTCACTGTCCAAAGTCCCCAGACCTACCCAGTCCTGACGAGGTGCTCAGCAGCTCCACAGAGGCCCCTCATGGTCCCTGAATGGCAGTCAGTGTCTGGCAGCGGTGGCAGGTGGAGTGGCCATGGGGAGAACCCTGCGCTTCTGCTTTTCTACCCTTTAAGCCCTCCTGGCTGCCTGTCCCTCCTGCCTGGGCCCACCTCCTGGGGGTTGGGTGAGCTGCCTCACCCTTTCCCATAGAGAGGGCCAGTGGAAAGTGTGGGAGGAGAGCAAGAAGTTTCCCAAGAAATATCTGCAATCCCACTAGCAGGAAGGTAGGCTTTGCCCCATTTTACAGAGGAGGAAACTGAGGTTCAGAGAAACCAGCTCATTCACGGTAGTGCGAGACAAAGAACTCAGCTCCGCTTCCCCTTTCTCCCCTGTCCCTTGTGTCCCTTGTCATTGCCCCAAGGGACTCGTGGGGGGGGGGATCCACTGGAGACAGTGAGATCCCTGCTGGTCACAGAGGTCTGTGACTGGCCACTGCTCCTGTCCACTGTCCTACTGCCTTGGAGGGAATAATTCAGACCTGTGATCACCTTGCTGTATACCCGGCATTACAAACAGAAGGCACTCAATAAATGTCGATCACCCGCATGTACTTTATGCTACTGTCACTTCCAGGCTGTTCTGAAAGCCAGTCCCACCGGGAGTAGAGACATCTCCCCCAGCATCTCTGCACCCCACCATGTGGGGATGGACACAGCTAGATGGCATCCCAGGCTGCCTGTCGTTTGCCCCTAAAAGGACACGTTCCCTGGGCCACTTGCTTAGATCTAAAGAGGAGCGTCCTGCCTCCCGATAAGGGACGTGACCTCTCATAGTCTCATAGCCGAGTGTGGCCAAACTCTCCTGGGCCATGGGTCCACATCGGCAAGGAGCAGGCACAAAAATCTCCAAGGCAGCCGCCGTGTGCCTCAGGGCTGGGAGGGAAGCTCACGCACAAAGCAGGTCCCATGGAACTGTGAACTGTGACAGTGTGGGCTTGTTTGGGAAAGGCAGCTGCTCCTCGGCCCCAGCCAAGTGTTAAAGCCCCACAAAAATGAGGCATGGATGGTGCTGATCCATCATGGTGCCAGGGCCAAAGGCAGCACGAGGACCACCAACTTGCAACCTCTGCAGGGGGCAGCAGTCAGGCCTGCTGTCCAGCTGTCCAGCTGCAGGAAGCAGGGAGCACTCCGTGAACTGCAGGGGCCCTGGGCTGTGCGCAGCAGACAGGAACTCAAATGCCAGCGGTGCCGGTTACTGTGCTGTGTGGCCTTGGGCAAGACAGAGTCCCTTTCTGAACTTGTGCGTCCTCTGTTATAGCAAAGAGAATCTATTACCTACTTCTTAGGATTGTTTGAGGACTCAGGAAGATAATGTGTGGAGTATCCAGTAAGCAGTAGATAAATGCTCATGCCCTGCTCCCTCCCACCTGGGCTGGTAGCTCTGCCTGAGTGAGCTCTGGGCTGCTCAGACTTGCTCATGCAGGCCTCTGTGATGCCCCCTCGGCCACCCTCACCTGGGCCTCTTCACACAGGGAGTCAAGGCACTGTGCTGGTCAGAAGGGAACCCACTAGCGCTGGCCCGGGTTCCACAGAACCACCAGAGAGCTGAGTGGTTAAGAACCACTTAGTTGTTTCCAGAAGGTCTATGGATTTGGGGACTGGGGACTTGGGAAAGGAAAGAGCAGAAGGTATTTTTGGCTTTTTTTGACATTTGTGGGCAGTCACCCCTGCCCATCTAAGGCTGGCCTGACCTCAAGGCCCACCACATCCGGAAGGGGCTTTGAATCATCAAAACAGAGCAGCCTTGTCGAGGGGAATTTCTGGGTGAAGGATTCAGAGGCATGAGACAGAGGGGAACTGGGTGCCCCGGCTCTCGGGGGCTTGGTCTAGAATCACAAGCAGAGGTCTGTGAACTCCTGGTGACACTGGGTTTTTTAGCTTGTGGGTGTAGAATGAGGCCACCATCGAGAAGGTCAGGAGTGCAGCGAGGTGGTGGGGATCTTGGCATGCAGACGGGACCACCTGACAGAAACGCAACGGGAGCCCCGGAAATGAGTCACACGCTGTGATTTTCTAATAACCGCATAAAAAATGAAATTAATTTCAGTGAAACTATTTTATTCAGTCTAATATATCCAAAATAGGATCCTTTCAAATGTCAAATATCCTGTCAAATATTATCCTTTCATATGTAAAAAATAGAAAATATTGCTCCTAGGACAGTTCCCATTTGTATTTCTCATGTTTTTAGAATCGGGTCGGCGTTTTGTACTGTGACACACCTCGATTCAGACCAGCCACGTGGTGAGGGCTCAGTCCCTCACTTAGCAAGTGGCCTCTGTGTTGGGCTGGGCAGGAGCCAGCTGCTCCCTCAATCAGAGACAGTTCCACTGGGCAGTGAGGCTCCCCGCCGTGGCCACCAGTGACCACTGAGGCCAAGATGGACCCTCCAGATGGTGTAATCTAGGATCCTGGGTTCCAGCGCCTTCCCAGGCCAGGAAGGTGGCAGAGTGGGAAGAAGGGAGCCAGGGTGAAAGGACACGCAGCTCGGGACTGGGGTAGGTGACAGTCCTGGCTCCCCCACCCCACCCACTAGGCTCCCAGCCACTGTCGCCAGGTGGCACGAGGGCCCCACATTGCTAGCTCAGAGAGGGGAGAGCATCTGGGTCAGGGCTCCTGCCTTTGCAGCAGGTGGCCTTTGCAGCAGGTGGCCAGAGCTGAGGATCCACGGCCCCCTTTGACAGGAGTGCACCCTTCCAGGCTGTGCCCACCACATTGCTAGATCTTGTGGTGTTTTCTTTCCCAAGAGAAGTGGGAATCCAGATTTTAAAGTGAAATCTGAACTTTAAAGATGAGCAACCCAGCTGGGTGCAGCCCTGTAATCCCAGCGGCTCAGGAGGCTGAGGCAGGAGGATCACGAGTTCAAAGCCAGCCTCAGCAACTTAGTGAGGCACCATCTCAAAATAAAAAATAAAAAGGGCTGGGATGTGGCTAGTGGTTAAGGGGCCCTGGGTTCAATCCCTGGGAAAGAAGGAAGGAGAAAGAAAGGGAGGGAGGGAGAGAGACAGAAAGAGAGAGAGAGAGAGAGAGAGAGAGAGAGAGAGAGAGAAGGGAGGGAGGGAGGAGAAAGAGAAAGAGGAAGAAAGAAAAAATAGTGGGGGTGGGGGGTGGGGTGGGGGAAGCAGCCCATTAACAGCTGAAAACTCACCGGGGAGGGCCAGAGAGTTTGACCGAGGGCCAGGTCCAGGGCGAGGGCCACCAGGGGGCAACCTCTGGTGGTGACTAAAGCCTGTGTGTGGGGTCTGTCTCTGGACTTGCTTTCGGCTCCTGTCCCCTGGCCCCGGAGGTGGGCTTGGGTAGGCCGCACTGAAGACTCGTCACATTCTGCCTTTTGTGGTTCCAGATATTTGGTCCCAGGTTATTCTAGATGTTTCCATGAGGATGCTTTTGATGAGATTAACGCTTAAAATAAACGGACTCCGAGTAAAGCAGCTTGCCTTCCAGGATGGGGGGTCCTGCCCATCAGTGGGAGCCTGACGGGAACGAGTGACCTGGGAGTCGGGGACTCTGCCGCAGGCGGCCTCAGAGCCACCTGCGACTCCTGCCTTCAGAGTCCCAGCCTCGCTGCTGGACGTGGGACTCAGGAGGCCCACAGTTGTGAACCAAGGGCTAACGTTCCCTCGCTCTTCCCTTCCTGCCCACAGCTTTGCTCCCTGGGTTCCATCATCCATCAGGAATCACAGACCCCAAATATTCAGAGGAAAATCTCAGAAACCAACAATTCACCTGTCTTAAATAACTTTTATCTTCGTCATCACTGTCCACCTCTTCCTGGGCCTATGACCGTATCCTAGACATGGAGAAGGAGGGAAGGCCTATAGGTGGGGTTCGATATCACCCACCGCGTCAGGCACCGCGGGGCTCTGGGAACCCATCCGTGAGGGCAGGGGCATTGCTGCTCACACCATCTGCGTGTTTCCCTCAGCCCTGCAGTGTCACCCTGGGCTCCCTGTGTCCCTGGAGCCGCCCCTGCCCAGGCGGATGTCTCCTGGGAGGCCTGGGCTGGGAGGTGCTGCTGCACCCATCCTCCTGCCCTCCTGGGATCTCCCCTTCCCTTGCAACCGCCCGCCCTCTGTCCCTAGCCGTAGATGATGGTTTTGAACTTCCCTCCAACTAGCCAGCTTGTTTCCTGTGTCCTGTTGAGACCTGACCCTGCGCTCCCATTTCTCAGATTAGGAAACTAAAGTCCAAAGTAACTAGAGACCTCCTCAAGCCCTCGCAGCATGTTGGGGTGGAGTCGGCATAGCCCCCTGGACAGCCCCCTGGACACTGTCCAGTGACTTTCATGTCACCTTTGGCTTTCCCCGTGGGTCGCGGCTCCCATTCCTCTGCCCTCTTGACTCTGCATCTGTCGGGACCAATATTGGAGTGCGCCTGCGTCCGAGGTGCGGCCGGGTACCGAAGCCCTTTGGGTGTGATGCTTCATCAATGTCGGCCGCCGAGGTAGCCTCCGGGTCCCCCGAAGAGTGGCCTTCTGACATTGTCTCTTTAGGGACCCATGGGGTAGCTCGCCGGGCTATAAACCCAGGAGTAGGATGACTGGGTCCAGGGAGCACGGCCGAGTCTCTGGCGGGCTCCCGGGCCGCCGTCTGGCCTGCAGAGCAGAGGCCTGGTTTCCTCACGGCCACCACCACTTAGTGTCCACTGCCTGGTTCCTCCCATCTCACTGACATCTGGTTCTGTCTTCTATTAATTTGCATCTCCCTGATTACAAACAAGTGCGTCTGGCCACCTCTCCGTAACCCTGTGGCCATCTAGAAATATCCCTTTTCCAAGTTGCATCTCATATTCTTGCTGATTTTCCTCCAGGGGGCTGTGTAGGAGGGTCCAGAAACAGCCGCCAACCAGCCCCTTGAAACCGGCTGATCCGGGCAGAGTCAATGTTCTGGAGTTTAGCTTTTGTCCTTGAGGTACACTGTTGTGCAGATCTTGGAGAAGCCACCCCAAGAGGGACTCTGGAGCCTCAGTGGCCATCACGACATGCCAGCCGCTAGTTCCTTACCTCCAGCCACGTCCCAAAGAGCAGAAGCAGCCACCCCTGAGGACTCTGTTCAAGGAGAAAAAGGAGCCAATAGACCAGCTCAAGGCCGGCGTCCGGGGGCCCGTTAGGCCGACAAGCTATCAGGACAGGTGGTTTGTCCTTCCTAGGCCATTGCTCCTTGTGTGATTCACACCAACCCCTGTTCCTTTCCAGTGACTCAGCACCTCCCCTCCCACCTAGCCATGGAGCCCCTGCAATAGAGCCCTGTCCTCTGCCCCAGGTCCTCTGTCCCAGGTCCTCTGTCCCCCAGGTCCTCTGCCCCACATCCTCTGCCCCACGTCCTCTGCCCCAGGTCCTCTGTCCCCCAGGTCCTCTGCCCCACGTCCTCTGTCCCTACATCCTCTGCCCCACGTCCTCTGCCCCCCAGGTCTTCTGCCCCCCAGGTCCTCTGTCCCTACATCCTCTGCCCCAGGTCCTCTGTCCCCACGTCCTCTGCCCCCCTAGGTCCTCTGTCCCTCAGGTCCTCTGCCCCCCCAAGTCCTCTGCCCCAGGTCCTCTGTCCCCCAGGTCCTCTGCCCCATGTCCTCTGCCCCTGGTCCTCTGCCCCATGTCCTCTGCCCCTGGTCCTCTGTCCCCCAGGTCCTCTGCCCCAGGTCCTCTCTCGAGCTGAGAACAGCGAAGCCCTTCAGCATCAGGGCCAGCAACACCCACTGAGGGCTGTCCCCCAAGGGCCAGGAAGGAGCTGCTTCCTATGGGGAGCTGCAGAGAGCGTTGTCACCAGCCAGAATGGGCAGAAGCTGGACCTCTGAATCCCAGGGCCCCGCTGGGTGGAGGCCGTCCTCCTGCCTGGCAGCCTCCCCACAGAACCCCCACGGCCTTCCCCCTGCCTCTGGTGGACTCCTGCGGGTCCCAGCTCAGGGAAGTCCTGAGCGCGGCCTCTGATCACTGTTCCACGGGGGAGTCTCATTTACTCTTCACCCGAATCGTGACTCAGAGTCATTTCTTCTATTTATTTATCTTCCTGTTGCCCGTCCCTCCTGTTAGAATGGAAGTTCCATGTGGGTGGGGACAGTGAGCCAGCACATCACAGCTTCTAACTAGACATTTGTTGGGTGAACAAATGGGGGAAGAAGTGAACCAGATCAAGACCCCACAAGAGAGGCCACGATAACTGTCTCCTGACTCTGGTGTAGATCCACGTGTTGAATATTTGCCGAGCATGTGGCATGTGGCAGAGGCTGGCCTGTGTGCCAGAGCTGTGGCAGCGAACCAAATAAAATTTGTATTTTTGTAAGTGTATATGCTGGAAGGAGAGAAGGCGATGACTTGGCATCCTGAGAACTAAGAGGATGATTAGGGCAGCGTAAGAGGGTGGACAGTAACAAGGGTGACCTAGGACTTTGGATAAAGTGAGGCCAGGAGCCACGCATATATTTGTACAGAATGTTCTAGGCAGGGGGACAGCATGTGCAAAGGCCCTGAGGTAGGAGAGTTTGAGTGTTTGGAGTAGAGGAGGGGAGAGGAAGCAAGTGGAGCCAGAGAGGTCCATGAAGTCCAGGAATTTGGGGGTTAGTGGCTCTCTCATGTTCACAGAGGCAAAGGATCTCCAGAGCCAGTGTTGATTAACATTCTTTATTTTGTAGCATTTTTGATCAGAAGTATTTGAGTCATGATTCCTCTGGTGACAAGTCCATGGGTTTCTCTGTGCATGAGCCTCTCTCACTGTCGCACGTTAGGGATCAGGGCCACCCAACCCCAGTGGGCTGAAGCTGTAGTTAACACTGACTGCTCCCCGGGAAGGAAGTGGAACCCAGTCTGCAGCTCCGAGGGGCCTCCGCCCTGCCCTCAGGGAACACCTCTGACTCACTGAGCTTAGACACAGAGCCCTGTGTCCCAGGGGCTGCAGGGAGCCTCACTCAGGGAGCAGGAAGGGGAAGTGGGAGGTTCCAGCCTCTGGTGCGGCTGCTGCACCGCCCTCCTTCAGTGTCTGCTGCCCAAGCACCCACTGCTCAGGGGCTGCCTCTGGGGAAGCCTGCCCAGCCCCGCCACCTGCTCAGGAAGGTCCCTTTCCCCAGGTGCCTGCCCGAGACCACCCCCAGGCCACCCACAAGGCCCTGATTCATCCTTAGACTTTCTCCCCCACCCAGATGTGGGAGGGCTGGGAGGGAGGGGAGATGACAACCAGTTCCTGGGACAAGAAATGGGTGAGGACCCCCTGCCACAGAGGCCCACGGGGCCACATGCAGGAGGGTCTTGGCTGGCGGGGCCATGGCCCCCTGTGAGAGGGCAGGGCCCAGGCTTGGCCTGACCCCAGATCATGGCCAAACTGAAGGACTCCAGGAGGAGAAGCGGAGCTCCTGGGTGCCGTGGCGGCTGGGCTCCCAGACCCGGGGGTGCTGGGGGAAACAGCAAGGGCACCCTGCCCAGGCCCACCCGTTCCTCCTGTCTCTAGGGACTGGAGGGTGTCACAGGGTGGGAGGCACACAGCGGTCCCAGAACAGGCCCCAGTGGGCAGAACCCCCCAGCCAGGAAGCATCGGGCCTAGAACTGCGCAGCCCCAAAGCCCCTCTGGGAACCGCGTCCTTGGAGATAAGATGGTCTCTCCAGAGAGGCCCTCAGCAGCCCACTGGGGAGGAGCCGGCTGTGCTCCTGGGGATGGGGGCCTCTCACCCAGCGTACAGGACAGACCCCATTCTTGATTTGTTAGTGTGGCTAAAGTGGGCTCTCTGCATCCCACCTCAGAACGCTCCCAGAGCTGGCTCTCAGGCGCAGACCTGGGAGGTCTCGGGGCCTTGAACCGCATGCGAGAGGAACCTGTGGGCCCAAGTGGACCACTGGAGGTTATCCTTGCTCTGCTGCATACTGGATGACAACAAAGAATTGTGGGTCATCCTGTAGGGTCCTAGCAGCAAGTAATAGTGACAGTCCTCTGGGAGGGCCCAGCCCACAGGGAAACCCCCAGGAAGGCTCAGAGGGTCCGAAACGTGTCGTTGGTCAAGGTGAGTGGTTCTGTGATGTTGGCTGAGTGGCTGTTGGCCCAGTCTGGGAAGGTGCCCAGCTGGAAGATGCTCTGGGCCCAGGTATTCATGGCCACGCTGAGCAGCAGGACGCCCATCACGTTCATCAGGAGACCTGTCCGGACCTGAAATGGAGCCCAGGCTGAGGGAGGGGTCAGCACAGACCCGCCTACAGGTGAGGAAACCTAGATCCCAGACAGGAAGTCACCCGCCCAGAGCCCAGGGAGGTCGGTCTGCTGAAGTCCCGCCACTGGAGAGCAACCGTGTCTGATCGTGATGCCCCTCCCCCACAGACACACCTGAGCACAGGCACACACACACACACACACACGGGTGTGCACACATGGGCGCACACACTCTGCAGGTCCAGGGGAGGTTGCACTTGTCTATGGAGACGCATTTTCCCCCTGGAGAGTCCACCTCTTGGAGTAGCTGACCAGCACCTGCCTGTGCGCTTCCCCCCGGACTCTCCAGGCCCCTGGGTCCCCTTGGGTTGAAAACGTCTGTTTTGCCATCTGGTTTTCTGCTTGCTTCACCTTAGTGTTACCCAGGCTTGGATCCCGTGAGGTCAAAGATGTCCCCTTGGGCAGCTGCAGGCGAGTGGGCGGTCTGTGGTGGTCACTCACCCGTCCCCGGGTCTCTCTGCTCCTCTGGCTTCTCTTTGCTCTCTGGAGCCCTGCGGCCTGCGCGTCTGCCCCCACTGTTTCCTCTCTGCTCCACGCATCCCTCCTGCCCTAACATTCACTCCACTCAGTGCAGAGTCGCCTCTAAAGACATCACTGTCCTGCCTAGAGCCCCACACAGCCTCCCCTGCAGCTCGAGCGTCGACCCAGGCCTGTGCGCGCACTCTGCCCATCGCTCTCCACCGCTGCGGGCACAGCAGCCCCCTGAGTGCTTCTGGAGCACGCGGAGCTCTGCCCCACTCCACGCCCAGGTGTTTGCCGTGCCCTCTGCTTGGAGAGCTCTTCTCCCTTTTTTGTGGAACACTGACTGCCTCTCAAGATCAGGCCTCAGCTCCTGTCACCTGCTTGAGAGGCATCCCATCCCTCCCATCCCATCAAAGTCACCTCTTCCATCCCCCATGCCGGGTTCTGTCCATTTTCGAGTGCTTAGCAATATTGACATTTCACCTTCTAAAAACCCTGCCACCTGTCTCCCGGCCTCACCACGCTGCTGCCCCCAGTGGTCAGAGCACAGAATGCACCAGCCCCTTCCTCCGTCTGCTCTTTCTTCTTCTCACCCTTGGTCCCCCTCTCTCCAGTTATCCTGCTGGGGTCTCCTGCCTGCTGAGCTGATCACCCTTCTTGGCTGTGTCAGCTCAGGACACTGAACAAATGCTCCAGGCAGCCAGTGGGGAGGGAGGAGCTGCTGGAGGAGAGCAGCAGGCGGGCGGGAGGGACGGAGGGAGGGAGGGAGGGAGGAAGGGTCCGGCCGGAGCTGGGGAGAGGGGACAGGAAGCCCTGCTCAGATGGTGAGCCCCCCCAGCCAGGCTTCTGCTTCCTTTGTCTCACTCCTGGACACTGAAGCCACCCCCCTAAGTCCCAGAGCGTGTCTGCTGCCCCCTCTCCTAAAGATTCTGGGCACGGAGCTGTTGGTCAAACAACCAAGAAAACAGCAGTGCCCAGAGAGAGGGGCAGGTCCCTTGTCCCTGAAGCGAACTGTGGGAAGCAGTCACTAGGCGTGTTTGCTGGAATGGTCTAAGCGTGAGCCTAGCCCAGAGTGTTTGCTGAAACCTGTCCCCAGCCTCATTCAAACAGCTGCTCAGAGACGGGGCAGGTGGAGGGCCTGGGGTCCAGCCTGGACGCTTTGCCCATTGCCTGGTGCCCCTCCTCCTGCTTCCCAGGCCGTGGCTAGGAATGCCCAGACTCACCATGTCTTTGACCAGCAGGTGTCCGGAGGCGAAGGCGATTGAGTTGGGGGGCGTGGAGACGGGGAGCATGAAGGCGTAGGAGCAGCCGACCGTGCCCGGGATCATCAGGTACAGCGGGTGCACTCTCAGGCGGATGGCCTGGGCCAGGAGGGGACCAAGACACAGACAGACACCGAGCAACCACATGAGTGATAGAGACAGTTGGAAAGAGAAGGACACGAAGGCACAGAGATTGGCAGAGTGACAGAGAACAGGGACACAGAAAGGCAGAGACATGCAGCCAGAAGTACAGACAGACACAGGCAGGAAGGGACCAGCAGACCAGGACGAGATGGAGAGAGGTTCCCAAAGTCAGTGACATCGCAGGGCCACGGGCTGTTTCATTAGGGAGCAGCTGGGGCGATTTAGCCAGGACTGTCCTTCTCATGTGAGTGAGCATCGGAACTGCCCAGATGGCTGCCCCGGCTCCCCAGACAGGCTGATCCAACAGGTCTGAGCAGAACCCACGACTGCGTTTCTCACAATTTCTCCAGTGATGCTGCTGCTGCCGCTTCCAGGGACCACACAGGGACTGAGAACCAGGGCACTGACTAACTAACGGCTCCATACCTGGTCCTCCCCTCTGGGCACCTGTGTCGGGGCTGGCTGCGTTTCAGTAACAAGGAGAGCTCAGGCTGCATCATTTGCAAGCCTTCCCACAGTTCTAGACTTGTGGAGTAAGTTGTCTGTGGGTTGACCTCAGGCAGCGGTCACCAGTGTGTCACCTCTGCTACATGACATATTCACCAGCAATTCATGTTGGTCAATCTCTGCCACTTTACTTAAGATAGGACATTTGGGCCCCTCTAAGGAGTTTCTGCAACCAGAAGCATAGAAAATTCCTGGGAAAGCTCTGACATCGCCCTCTGTGGATCTGATGAGAAGCAGAACTGAAGAGAATAGGTCCTGCAGAGGGTTTCCAGCAAGAGCAGGCTCTAGGCTCCCTCCCCTCCCCCCCCACCCCACAGCACCCCTATTGCCAGGTCCCTGAGATCCTAGGAAAGGGTCTGACTGAATCCAACTTTACTTGAGGGTATGAGGGGTGCCACCCCACACTGCTGGTGGGAGGGCAAGCTGGGGAGTTGCTTTGAAGAGCAATCTGCTCAAACCTAACCTTTTAAATGCACATGCTCTTTGATCCAAGAATCACAGCTGTAGGCCTTTTCTCTAAAAGTAATCAAGGATGCACAGACCAGCAAGATCAAGGCAGCCTTTTTGGGTAATAGCAGCCTGGAGTCACCCATATGATCATGAGCCCAAGATTGCTTAAATTCATCAGCAATTATCCATTTAGAATGGAATATTCCCCAGTGGTTGAAAAAGCATACATTATAGCTCTGTGCTGATACAGTGTGATCTTCTCTGCAAATTGATACATAAAATAAGCAAACTAAAACCCAAACCAGGCAGGGCAGCAAGAGAGCTTGTGTGCCACCATTGGCACACCAGGCATAGACACCATATATGATCGCAACATTGATTTGGTCAGCTTGGGATTATATTGAAATAGTCGTATGGCTTGGTCTTCTTTAATCTGTTTAAGTGTAAAGCAACACGGATAGTTTCCTGAGGCTAACCCTGGTACAGATTCTTAGAATACCGTCTACCTGATTGTGATTATTTCTTGTTCTTTGCATATGATCCTGGACTCACTTTGCTTCAGTATTTGCATCTTTGTTCACGTGAGAGATTGGATTCTCTCTCTCTTCCCTCCTGTCTCTCTCCCCTCTCCTCTCTTTGTCTGGATTTGGCATCAGGTCCTGCTGACCTCCTGAATGGCTTGCAGGCCCTCTCTCTTTCTGTGCTGGGGACCAGCTGGGTGAGGTGGGAACTCTCTGTTCCTTGAAGACTTGCCCCCTCTCACCAGCAAAGGTAGATTCTGGATAAATCGCTCCAGCTGATCCCTGATGAGACCCCGGGCTGGTGATTTTAGAGCAGAGGTTCTCAATCAGTGTGATGTGTCCCCCCAGGGTGGAAGCTAGGGATGATGCTCAACACCCCCACAGCCCACAGGACAGCCCCACCCACCCCCAGAGAATTCTCTGGCCCAAGTTCTCAACAGTGTGCAAAGCCTGCTTTTGAGAGGGGCTACAGCTTTGCCTGTTATTAGAATCTCAGATTTTCCACATCATCCAACTTTGGAAATTTATATCTTCTCAGAAAACTCTCCATGTCACCCCGGGTTCATTTTTCCCAACGAGGGTGTTTCTTGTTTGTTTTTTCACTTTGAACATATTAACTCATATTTATGCATTTCTTGAAGAAAAAAAAAAACCTATCTTTTAAATGACACTGTGGTTCTGACACTTCCACGCATTTCGGAAGACAGAAGTGACACCAGGGTCCCTAGGAGGGCTCTGTCGCAGGGAGGGGGTTTCCTGCCCCGGGAAGGCGTGCCCCTCCCCCCGCCTCGGCCCGAGGGACCCTCACCAGCTCCGCCAGGATGGGCAGGAAGATGACGATGGTGGCCGTGTTGCTGGCGAACTCGGTGAAGAAGGCGATGACCACGGTGACGAGCAGCACGGCCAGCACCGGGGGCACGTTCTGCAGCGGGTGCAGCTGCCCCCCGATCCACGCCGACAGCCCCGACTCCTGCGGGTGGGCACAGCCTTCACACCAGCCCGCCCGGCTGCCCGAGGGGTCGGGGCGTCGCCGCAGGGACAGCGCTGCCCCTGCGCAGACGGGAGACCCGGGGCAGAGAGGCGGGGGCACGGCCAAGGGCACCATCAGAGCCAGCTGCTCGGCCTCCCAGACTTCACATCCTACAAGCCAGGGGCCGGAACCCAGGGTCCCCCATGACCCATTTGGTTAGAATCAGAAATTCTGTCTCCATTGGCTCTAGCACCCCGAGGCTCCAACTTGAGCTGGAGGGAGAAGATCAGACCCTTCCGCACGAGTCTCACTCCTCCAACGATGGTGATCAATTAACAAAATATCAACGATTGCTTATGCGAATATTCATCATTGTTGTAATTATTATCTAATAATACGTTCATATGTATCAAAGTATTATATATGATATACTAAATATCACATATAATGTGGAACAAATGAACATATGTCAAAAGCAGCACAATCAATGATTATTAAGAATAAAGATATTTATGATCCATAATAAGGATGATAAGGATGATAATGTAAATACTAACATTATTAGCATTGTACTACTGTTTCCTGTCATAAGAATTGTCATGATGGAGGCTTTCTGGGGCCAGCACCTGCTACATTACCTGCTGACTCGTCCCAGCCATCCTGTACGGTGGATTTTATTGTTTTATGGGGAGAGGGTGGTGGTGGGGAATCCGAGCCTGGAAAGGTGTTGTGATCACCTGCCCACGGTTCATCCCCCCAAATAGTGACTGAGATCCACATCTGATTCATGAGCTGACATGCTTCGCAAATCTCCCCACACCCCACTTCCTCTGGACACACTACTTTGTCACTTTATCTCTTAATTAAGAGCAGCACCCAGAGCTGACCACAGTCCTCCCCTACCGTCCCCTGTGCCACCACTCTAGCAATGCTGCCCAGCCTGCGACGGACTGAGAGCTAGGGCCAGTGCTGCTCCACACTGCCCCCTGGTGGTGCCACATAAGATCACAACGATGCTCCATGGCTCCTCCTGTAGCTTGTTTTCTCGTCAAAAACGACAGAAGTATAGGTTTAGGAACTCATCAAGGGCAGAGTTGGATTAAGCCCTAACATTTAAAATCAAATGTATTCCTGCCATAGTCCTTTGATCAACCCAGGATCCTCTGCTACCAATTCACGGTGTTTTGCCAAAGAAACCTTGCCCATTCTTTCGTGTTTAATAGAAGATTCACTGCTTATTCAGAACTTAAGACTTCATGATGGCTTCTAGAACACAGCTTTACGTTGCTTTATTTACATAAATAAAATACTACACTTGGTTGTACAATGTGACTTTCAATTTACCTTCAATGCATGAATAATAAATGCTAAAAAATGTTTTCACCGTAGAAAGGTCCTTGCAGAATCAGGGTGTTTCTGGTCCACCTGCACTAGCCGATAGCCTAGGACAGGCCTTCCTGGCCTGGGGACACTGTGAGGAACTAATGGGGCCACTGGCTTTTCCATAGGCCGCAGCTCTGGCGGAGACCAGCCGAGCACATGCAGTTAGACAGAGAGGGAGGTGGCAGGGAATGTTAATGCCCCGGCTCAGGATGAAGCCCAGGGCCCCCTGCATCTTGGCCTCCGAGAGCCGGGCCTCCTGCCAACAGCCCAGCAGCCACCCAGGTCCTGGGCGCAGCTCCTCGCAGGAGGGACTTTTGGCAGCTTCCTGGGAGAGGAAAACCCCCAGCTCCCTGGGGTTCTGTTGGGGACACTAAAGGGACTTCACCTTCCCTTTCCCATTCCTTTGGAATCGGAAGCTCTGTTTCTTAGGAAACACACACCCCAGGGATGTCCCCAGGGGTGTCCCCAGGATGTCCCCAGGGGTGCCAGGAACCAGTGAGAGCCAAGTCAGGGGCAGCTCGGCCAAAAGTTGAGAGAAGCCTCCAGAGTCAGGGTGTTTCTCGGCGGAGTCCTTCCTGCCTGAGCCACCCTGGCCAGGCCGCGAGGCCTCTCTGTGCCTGACTCCTGAACCTGTAAACTGGGGACAACAGTGCCTGTCCTGGACGCTGCTGAGAGAAAGAACTGATGTATAAAGTGCCCAGAGAAGTGGCCAAGGACCCAGGAAGAGCCCGGTGCAGCATCGAGTCACAGATGCCAGAAATGGCAGGACTCAGAATTACCCAATGCAGAGGTCAACTGTGTTCCTTGGTGGCCCCAAGGATGACAAGAAGACCGAGGGCCACCTGCAGGACGGGAGGGAGGGAGGCTGGGTTAGCGTGATGAAGCCCCCTCCCCCCTTCCTACTTCATCCAGATCCTCTTCCCGGGTCTCTTCTCTAAGCAGGGCCACATCTTTCAAGGAGGCTGCTGTGGCTCAAGTTCACTGTGTGAAATCAAACTCTCCTGGGGTCCTCAAAAATCCCTTAAAAGGCTCGTAAAACAGCAGCCTCCGCTGTGCGTCTACAGCCCTAAATAGGAATCTTAGGAAGCAAGACCAGTGACTTGGATTAAAGGAAGGAAAACAAAGAGTCCTGTATGCGCCTGTGGGACCCTGCATTCATCGCTGCATTTACCAGCTGGGCGACATTGGGCAAGCGGCTTACCATCTCTGTTCCTTGGTTTCTTTAAGTGATCGTGCTAAGGATTGAACAAGTACAGGAAAAAGAGTCCCTGTACATACTCAGCACTGAATAAAATTATTATTATATATTTAATTTATCACACAACATAGTGCTTCCTCAGTGCCGGGCACTCTGCTAAGTCTCTGCTGATATTAACTCACTGGATCCTCATAATAACCCCCAAAGTAGGTGGTACACATCTGTACGTCATGGTTGAAGAAACTGAGGCACAAAGAGGGCGAGTGATTTGCCCAAATAAGTGAAATGACTCGTCTGAGTGACTCTGGGCTTAGAGTCTGGGCCTCGGCCATTCCACCTAGCTCTTGTCCCCCACCATGATCGGACAGTAAGAGGGACGAGCCTCAGGTTCCCCTCAGGAGAGGGATGGGGAGGGCTCGCGTCTCTGACCCAGGGTTTGCTCCACTCGGCACCAGGCGCCTGTGACTTCAATCTGTCGGTAGAGAAGTGGCTCTTGTGACTCCGTGTATCTGAAGGCCATGAACAAGGCCACTCTTTCTGCCCTGAGATGGTCACACATTCGCGGCTATAGCGGCTGGTCTGCACCTGGGGGCGCTGTTCTTCCAGGTCCTTTTCTATATTGTCATCCATTTTCAAAATCGCCATCTATGGATCCTAACGACAAGTGCTTGCTGAGCATCACTCCTGGATGCCTGGATCTCAGGGGCTGGGACAGGTCTGGTCCCTGTCCCCATGAGACAGATCACCAATAAGCAAACAACTGCCCTGGATCCGTCGGAGGGTAGATGAGGTACAACAGAAATGAACAGGGTGGGAAGACAGGAGCGGAGGGCGGGGCGACTCTAGTACGGTGGCCTGAGAGGTCGTCTCCAAGGGGCTGAGACATGGACGTGGAGATCTCAGGAAGAGTATTCAACAGAGAAATGTGGTGCAAAGGTCCTGGGGTGCAAGTGAGTCTGACGTGGCTGAGGAAGAGCAAGCGGTCAGAGGGACTAGAGTAGTAAAGGAGGGAGAGGTCGTGCCAAGGTCAGCGAGTCAGGCAGGCGCCAGGCCGTGCGTCGGCTCATGTGCAGGCCTGGGAAGTCTCTGGGTTTGTGCTCATGTGTGTGGGCAGTCGTGAGCACACGGTTTTGCCGCAGAGCCCTGCAGTGGGGACACGCTGCAGACCCCAGCTCACGTCCACGAGGCTGGGCCTCCAGCTCTCGGACTCAGCCCCGGGGAAGCCACACGCCCAGCCTCACCTGGGCCCCAGCCAAGGATCTCCAAGCCTCGGGTGGCCTGGCTGTGGCCCGGCCAACACACTGGGCTGTGCCATAGCTTTCTGGTCACTCCTGGGCTGGGCTTCAGCTGCCCGGGGACAGGATGGTACCAGCAGAGGCTGGGGAAGAGGGGCGGCCACCACACAAAGGCCCTGTTGAACAGAACCCCGGGCCGCTGCCCAGGCCTGGGCCGAGAGCCAGCCTGGCCTCCCTGAGCCTGGCCCCGTGGAGCAGGACCCCACCACTGTCCCTGCCGAGCCCAGAGGCTCCGGGGGGGGCGAGGCCAGCCCTCCCAGTCCCCTGCCTTGGGCCGGGCTGGGCTCAGGTCGCTGTGCTAATGACACCATTGCTCCTGACCCCGAGCTCCCCTTCCCCAGCTTCCAGGCAGGGCCGCCAGTGAGTCAGGCCTAAGTGCCCCGCCCACGCTGCCTGCTTCAAAATCCCGATGACTCTAGGTGGTCACTGATCTCCACTCTAGGTGAGGACACTGAGGTCCAAAGGGGTCGAATAACTTGGCAAAGACCAAACAGTACGAAGTGGGGGAGCTCTGCTTCCAACCCAGGGGACCTGGTTCACTGCGTTTCAGGCCAGACCTGAGCCACAAGTCACTTCCTCCAGGAAGCCTCCCCTGATATACCCCCACAGGAGGCCACAGCGAGAGGGGCAGACAAACCAGGGTTCTTATCCAGCCCTGCTACCAGAGAGCTGTGTGACCTGGGACCAGTCACCTAACCTCTCTGGCCTTGAAATTCCTAAAATGGAGACCAAAAAAAAGTCCTTTAGTTCACCTGTCATTTGTTCTCCTTGAGTTCTGCTCACTTGTGTGAGTTTCTCTTTCTGGAATAAACGATCCTCATCAACACGTGCCTCACGGAGGACCTGTGTGTGCCTCCCGCGCCCTCGGGGGGGCCTCGCAGGGGACGTTCAGCGTGCAGTCAGTTTGACCTGGCCCCAGAAGAGCCCTCTGGCCCGGAGTCCTATCAGCTCAGGTCTGCGGACAGTGGACACTGGGAGACCAGGGCCTGGCCACCTCTGACCAGTCAGGACACTCTAAAGCCTCTGTGGGGCGGGGTGTCCCCAGGTCCCCTCTCCCTCTCTCTTCTCTCCCTCCAAGGGCGCAAACTAAGGACCCGCTCCTCACCACACAACTCAGAGTCCACCTCCTGCAGACACTGTGGCCCCAGGAGGGAGTGAGGTCATGGGACGGGCACTTGTCAACCTGGGTTCATTATTATCTTACTTTCTTCCCATTTCTTGTGTAGAAGAAAAAAAATCATCTACAATTTATAGATGAGAAAACTGGAGCCCAGAGAGGTCGCGAGGCCTGTCAAAGCACCCCAGTGAGAAGAGGCGAGCTCAGCCCCCAAATCTGGTCACCTGAACAATATGCCCTGGTGACAGGTGTCCCACTCGGGAATGTGACCTGAACTGAAAATCAAAGTTGAAGTGAAGTGAGAAGGCATGTGAGCAGGGATTTGGTTTCTCTGCCTTCGACGCAGAGTGATCCCCAACTGGCTGTGGGTGTGACCACGGGGGAGGTGGGGGGGGCGGAGCCTCCTGGAACTGCTCTGTGCCTCGCCTGCCCGGCCCCAGCCCTACTCTGCGCTCAGAGAGCCTTCTAGACTAACACTAGGGATAGCTTTAACGAACGACTTTAACTACTAGTGTCTAACATGCAGATCTCAGGGGTCAAGGACATAGACTCTAGACTCCTGGTTTCTCATCCTGACTCCCCATCTGTGTGACCTTAGGCAAGTTACTTTACCTCTCTGTGTCCCAGCTGTCCTATCTACAGAAGGGAATCCTCACGGCCCCTGCCGCACAGGGTCGTTGGGAGGCCCCGGGAGCTGAACAAGGAAGGCGCATCCAGGACACGCGCCTACTCCTCCCGCTCCCAGGACCCTCCGGCCGCGACACGTTTGTCCTGTGGCCACCCCGAGCTCCTGGAGCCTCCGCGTCTGACCTCCTCCCTCTCCCTCTGCTGAGTGCGGGCCCACGAGGTCGGGGACCGTGGTTGTTCCTCTTTGTCAAAGAGGAACCTGGCTGTGCCCGTGGGCCCACTCCACCCCTCTCCTGTCTGAGCTGCGGGGACGGGGACCTGCCCACACGGCGGCTCTTACCTCGCAGCCCTTGGCCATGGCGAAGCCCCCGCCCAGCAGAAGGATGACGTTCCAGGGCACCGTCTCCTGGGCCTTCCTCCAGGTCAGCAGGGGCTCCGTGTCCGTGTTGGGAGCTGGGCAGAGAGAGGGACCCAGCAATGTGCAGGGGCCTTGGCCTGAGGAGGGGCCACCAGCCCTGCAGCCTCTTCTTCGTGGGGACACTCAGGGGTCCCAGGACGTCAAGGTCTCACTCTAGAGAAACCCCGTGAGTGTCACGAGGGGGTGTCCATTCAGAATGCCAGCCACGCCCGGCTGCCTCGGCTCCAGATGTGGGGGACCAGGCACCCCACAGGCCAGACACCACCTAAATCTCCCATCTGCCCCCGGGAGGTGCCGGCGGGATCCCCAGGCCCAGCAGGAAGGGCTGTCCTGACGCCAGCGTGCCCAGAGAGGGAGAAGGGGAGGAAATGTAGAACAATGGAGCCCAGAGCAGCCTTGGTCCAGGTGGTCCCCTCGGGCCTCTATTCCCCAGCAGGGCCCAGGTGGGCAGCGAGCCAGGAGCAGGGTGATGAGCCACAGCTACCAGCTGGGCAGCTCCTGCTCTGTCCCTGTGGCTGGGAAGCAGCCAGGACAGGCCAGAGACAGTGGCACAGGGACACTGGAGGGAGACTGTTCACGACAGCGGTGGTGGGTGGGCCTGGCCCGCGGGAGGCACCCCAGCCCTGGCCATCCGAAGGTCCCTGGGAACACTGCCCAAGGCAGAGCGGGGCGGGGGAGCTGACCTCTGCGTCCCCAGGGCCTGGAGCCAAGTCACTCCTGAGTACCTGCGTGTCACCCTGGGCCCCCCTGCTGGGCAGCGGACACTTTGGGAAGGGAGCAGGGGGCAGCCGCTCCCAAGTCCCCATTGACATTCCTGCCGCTCTTGGCTTCCCCAGGTTCAGCCGGCCTCCAGGGTTTTGTGGTCAGAAAATAAAAACAATAAGAACTGCTTTAGGGACCCTCCCCAGGGAGAGCCTGCAGACTCTTGGACCAACCAACATGCAATTGAGCCAGACTTGGAAGAGGAGGTGGCAGGAGGCCCAGCCTCTACTGGGGTGATACAACCCTATTTCATTAGGGGGGGGGGGGGCCTGAGAGAGTAAGCGACCGCCCTGGGTGGCAGGTAGAGCAGGACAGGGAGGGGAAGGCCCCGGCCACCTGGTAGGCACCACTGGCAGGAACTTTGCCCTCCTTACGATTGTCCTGCCCAACCACGCCCTGCCACTGTTTCCTATTAGCCCGCTTCTGGCCAGGTGGGCTCCACTTCTGGCTCAGACTCCGCCTGGCTGGCGCCTAGAGCAGTGCAAGCACAGGCGGCAAGCACAGGTTTGGATTAGGTTTGACCCTCGCTCTGCTGTTCACCCGCTGTGTGACCTGGGCTGGTGACTCAACCTCTCTGAGCCTCGACCTCCTCATCTGCAAGGCAGGGTGATAGCACCTCCCTCAGAGACTTTGGCGCTGAGATGAAACGTGCCCACGTGGGCAAAGGGCCGAGCCGGGGCCATGGCCCACAGCAGGCCCTGGTTCTTTAATTGACAAATTCACCCCGAGGGCCTGCCATGTGCCACACACTGCTCTGGACACCTGGGAATCAGAAGGGCCAGCAAGGAGACATCCCCCCCGTTGGCTGGCCGGAAACGGGGAGGAGGAGAGTGGACGGCTGGAAGACGGCCAGTGGGTGTGAAGAGAAAACCCAAGTTGCTTGGTTTCCACATCCTGCTTGAGCTCCTCGGGTGACTTTGATCAAGTCACTTTCTCGCCATGGACACTGACCATTAGACCACTCTCTAAGGCACCGTCCAAGTTCTGAGGGCTAAGACACAAAGCGTCACCTCGGCCAGTCTGCACAGAACACCAGTGGCCAGAGGACAGTGGTGCTCAGAGTCCCTGCCCACCAGGGACTCAAGGCTGGGAACTGCAGCCAGGGCCTCGGCTAAGGTGGCACAGTGACACTGCCTGGACCAAGCTCCACTCACGGTGTCCTAGTGCGACTGCCACTGGCCCGCGTGGCGCTGGCTTTGTCATTTGAATTGGTGACCAACATTTCAAATCAGGGAGATTTCATACAAGCCCAGAGTCTTTGCTTCTCTTGAAAAAATCGGACCAAACCAGTCCCAGCTCCCTGCGTGCGGGCCGTGGGCAGGAACCGTGGGCGTCTGCCCCACGACATGGGTCTGCACAGCCTGCTCCCCAGGATGCCAAGGCCCCTGTCCTTTGTCCTCCTCTCTGCGGCCATTTCCTCCAGGGGCAGACGCTGCTCTCTGTACCAGGATGTGACAGGAGAGATGGATGAGGAGGCCACATGCTTCGGGCACGGACTGGGAGCCAGCGACCCTGATCCCGAGACCACTGAGAGGACACTCAGCCCCCAGGGGCCCTCCTCCCTGTAGGAGGCCCCAGAGCCCAGGAGCCGGGTGGGGAGCGCCCAGAACAGGGCAGCAGCGGGCACCGGCCGCCTCCGTCATCACCCCCTGCAGCCCAGCCAGAGGAAGCTCTGGGCATTCAGGAGAGGCCACCTGACCTGGGGCAGTCGTCACAGGAGGCCCGGAACCCGTGATGCCGTGAGGTGGCCTCTGGGGGAAGATCCGCCCAAGTGAGAAGGAGCCGGAGCAGCCGGATTCTGAGCCGCCAAGGGAGGGGGCCGACTGGGAGAAGAGTCCTGCCACGCAGGTGCCCACGCAGGTGCCCACGCAGGGGCCCACGCAGGTGCCCATGCAGGGGCCCACGCAGGGCCGTGGGCGGGTCCTGCAGGGAGCTGGAGCGGGGCCAGAGACCCAGCAGAAGCAGATGTCCCAGGGTGGCCCTAGCAGAGGCCCCGGCAGGGCGGGGGGCGGCAGCGCTGGGGGCCAAGCCGGAGCCAGGGGGAAGCAGCCCCCAAGAGGCAGCAGGACCTCGGAAGACGCCCAGCAACGAAGCTCAGAGACGAGGCGTGGGCAGAGCAGGGGCCGTCAGGCAGGAGCGCGGCCAGGGGCAGAGAAGAGCCGAGCCCCGCTCAGCAGGGAGCCACGGCCAGGCCCCTGGGGCCAGCCAGGCCACAGCTGCGTGGGACCTGGGGACACCTGGCTTTCTGTGCAGTCTCCACTCGAGCTGGGACTGGCCTGCGCGAAAGTCTTTCTTCCCCAACAACAGGAAGTAGTTAGATCCTGACCCCTGACTCCTGGTCCAGAGCCCATGCCCTGCCTGGGACAGACACGGGGCTAGTCACAGGTGGCAAGTGCTGGTGCCGCCTTCTGGCAGCCATCTGCTGGACACCCAGTGGGGTCACAAACTGGCACTTAGCCCTCCAGCCTTCGGACTCCCGCTGAGGGGCCTGCGGGAAATTTGGATTTTAATTGAGTTTTGCCTCCGACTCACTGCGCCCAGCTTGGCTCTGTCCTGCCTGGCTCTTAGGCCACCAGCTGCGCCTCCTGCCTTGGCTGAGGGGTCAGCCACTGTTCAGGAAGGATGTCTGGCTGAGGGCCAGGGGCAACATCAGGCCTTGGGGTCGCACTTACATAACTGAAGGGAAAATGAGTCTCCCCGGCTTCCCAGCTCTCCTGCGGAAAGGCAGCCTTGGCTGTGGACATGGGACGCTGGATTTCTTATAATGTCATGTCAGGAAATATTCTTCTTTTGATTTTTTTCAATTATAGGAAAACCATTCCTGGCTCATGGGTTGTACAGCAACGGCCAGTTGCTGGGCCTGGCCCAGAACTACATCTTGGATGCCATCTCAGGCAGTCCCAAGTCCCCAGATGTCCCTCACACTGCGAGGGGGACACGCAGGACCACGTGCTGCTCCAGGTCACTGAGGCCACACCCCAGGCCACAGTCCGAGGCCCAGCCTTGCCCACCTTACCTTTGAGGTCAAACCACCACTTGAGGGAGGGCCTCTGGGACGGGAAGAAGAACAAGATGATGACAACGGCCACGCTGGTGACAGCATCAGACACAAACCTACAATGAGAAGCCCACAGCATGTGACCCTGGGCTTCTCAGCAGGCCGTGGCTGGGAGGCTCGCCAGTGAGGGTCTGGGGACGGGAGTCAGCGTGCTGTGAAGGGGGCATTGTTGGGGACAGGGCCCCTGGATGCTGAGCGCAGTGTGGGGCCACCCCCAGGGAGGCAAAGGCCTTTCTCCCTAGCCCCTGGGCATTTAGACGTTGCTTGTGCCAAACAAACGCTAATCCTCCCGATTCAAGGACCATAGCAGGAGGGACCCGGCCAGAGAGGGGAGACTCTGAGAGCTACAAAAAACGGGGGTCCACGGGGCTCCCAGGGCTCTATCGCACATTGAGCTCCCCACATGGATGTACCCCACCTCCGCAGGAGAGCAGGGAAGCTGGGTGAGGTGGGGTACATCCATGTGGGGAGCTCAAGTGTGCGATAGAGCCACCTCTTAATGCCACCTCTTAAGCACCCACAGAGGGCCTCTGGGGGAGCTGGGCAGATGTGGGGCCCTCAGGGCAGGCCTGTGTGCCAGAGGAGGAGGAGGGCCGTCAGGGAGCAGAAAGGGTCAGACCCTGGCTGTGGCCGAGAGGAGCCTGAACTCGGGGTTGCCTGGCCCCAGATTCCTTGAGGCCCAGAGCCTGTTCCTGACAGGAGCTGTTGGGCTCACAGGTACCGAGACAGGAGAATGCACATAGCTGAGGGTTGGACAGGAGAATGCACATAGCTGAGGGTTGGAGGGGGCCATAGAAATACAGATAAAAACAGTAACAAGATACCACTTATCTACTAATAAATTGTCAAAACCTAAAAGGGGGATGAACCTGGTGAGGGGGCGGGGGAGGGAGGACACACGGGCTTAACCTTCTAGAAGGCAGCGGAAAACAAGCCGCAGATTGTACCTGCGAACGCTCCTTGATCTCTTCTGCTCCTAGGAGTTCACCCTCAGGAATAATTTATAAGACTCACACACAGATTATGAACAGGGGTGTTCATTATCGGTAGGACAACGGGGAGGAGTTTTGATAGGGACATGCTTAAATAAAGCGTGATTCATCCACATTACAAAATAATCTGTGTCTGTTTAAAAAGAGATAAAAGATAGCATCAATCTTTATCGACATAGAAATAGAACCAAGATTTTGTAAATTACAGAAAAAAGGAAGGGCTCATTTGTGATATTGGACATAGCTCAATAAGGAACGAGTTAAATAAAATAAGATCCTCCCAGACACAGAATGCTTTGAAGTGCCTAAAAAGAATGAAGTGAATCAGAAATCGCAAGTTGCTCAGGATCAAATTTTCCTGTGTGCATGTATGTGTACTTTGATATGTGTCTACGTATCCGGAATGTCACACACCAAACTTGTTCATTGTGATTGTCCTCGGGAGTTGGGTTGAGGGTGGTTGAAGGGCAACTAACTCTTTCATTTTAAATTTGGTCTTGTTTGAATTTTTGTGAGTATGCATAATTTTTCTAATTAAAAAAGAGAAAAACGGATGACAATCTGTTTACTGAGATTACATTTCTATTTGGAGTTCTTTCTAGCTAATTGTCAGGAGTTTTATTGAAGTGTAATGAACTTGTAATAGAACGTATCTATGGTAATATACAACACAATGTATACAAAGTCTTGGGTACAATTCCAGGTTGGACTTGTACCCAGTCCTGTAACCAGCCACTTGACCAAGAGGTAAAACAGATCTGGTCAGGCTTTATTGAAGGTTAGAAAAGATGTCTATCAGAACTGGGGATTGAGATTTGGAGTTATTTTTCACTTTCTCTGTATCGTTGAAATGCTTATAGCATCCATTATGCATTTGGAAAAAAATTAACAAAGTACCTGGAAAAGTATTCTGGAAAAATAAAAGAATAACAGTAGTCAATTCTCTTGACTCCATGAAGTTACATGTTTCTGCCTTAAAACAACCTTTAGTAGATCAAAATTTTATCACCCAGGTCACAGTGAGGACTTGGCGGCTCCGAGGGGGAGGTGAACCCAGGGGTGCTTAACCACTAAGCCACATTCCCGCCCCTTTTATTTTTTAGAGACAAGGTCTCACTAAGTTGTTTAAGACCTTGCTAAGTTTCTGAGGCTGGCCTTGAACTTGTGATCCTCCTGCCTCAGCCTCCTAAATTGCTGGGATTAGAGGCATGCACCACCATGCCCAGCTAGGTGGCCATTTTTAAAAATATCTAAATATATACATGTCCTATCATCCAAGCCTAAACTCTTTTCAGAGGGTAATAATGACACAATTACACGGGACGACAGGTGTAAACTCGGACACGGGTGTCCTCGTCTGCAGCCTCTCCAGCTCCACATGGCCCACCCCACAATCCTCCCCGTTGGCCTCCATCCCAGAATCTCACCCGGGAGGGAAGAGGCTGGCCCAGCCAGGGATGAACTTTGGGTCCCGGGAGAAGAGGAGGATGGCGAACGTGCAGAACAGGATGAAAACGGCCTGTTCCGCGAACCTGTGGCACAGACAAGCACAAAGGTGAGCCTGGGTTCAGGTGACAGCAGCAGCGGCGGGGGACCCAGGCAGGTGTCCGTCTGAGAAAGCTGAAAAGACTCCCTCCCTCCCAGGAGGCCTCAGAGAGAGGGCAGGGTGACGAGGTGTGACTGCTCCGTCCCCGGCTCCGCCCTTGCCCAGGACCCTGCCTCAGCACCAGACCACCCCCTCCCAGTGGTTTCTGTGAATTTGCAAAAAAGAGAAAGAAAGGAGGAAACAGAGACCGAGGTTGAAGGCAGAGAGAAAAGGGAAAGACCGGGGAAGAGAGAGAGGAACGGTCACGGAGACAGAGGAGACAGGCACTCAGGAGGGGACAGCCACCGAGAGGAGCACACACGGGGAGGGACAGACGTGGAGAGGGGTGCAGGGCTGGGGAGGGAGACTCTCCAAATGCCAGAGGAAATGGCTCCCTGGTGTACCCACTTCGCAGACCAGGCAGCAGGGCCCAGAGAGGGTTAGAACAATGCCCAGAGCCCCACAGGGAGCAGTGGCCCAGCCAGTCTTGGACACAGACCGGTGAAGCCTAGATATTTTCACCCATGGGCAATGTGCATCAAACAAGAGCCTGAAAGCCACCGGAGGTGGTGTCAGACACGGTGCCTTGGGTGGGAAGGGGGCAGATCCCCACCCCAAGCACCCTGAGGGCTTTGTTGGTCAAGGGTCTACCCAGCCCCCATCCTCCGGGCTCCCAGGTCATTCCCTGGGACTCGGCCAGGGCCAGGCCAGGCGGTAGCCCGCTCTCTCCCACCCCAAGTTACCCACACACTTGATGGGACCCAGGTTCTGGAATTCTTCCCGAATCACAGCCCGCGCCTTCTCCTCTGCGTCCACTCTCAGCTTGGATTTCCTTTTTCTCCAGCCCCTGAAACAGGGAGGGCGGTAGGAGCAGCCGCTCACTGAGTCCCACCTCTCGCCATCCCCCGCCCGCCTGGCCAAGCCACGTCACCTCTGTTCTCCACACTGGGAGGGCCTCTGCCTCCCCTTCCTACAGCTGTGCCCCCGGAGTCTGGCTGATCGTTTGAAAACATGACGCCCAGGCTGAAAACCTCTTGTGGGTCCAACGGACCCGTGAACACAGACAGATCAACGGAACAAAACAGGACGTCGGGATCAGACTCACTCAAGTGGGAGCTGAGCCTATGAGCAAGCTGGCCTCTCAGATCAGCGAGGACACGTGGGCTATTCAGAGATGGGTGTTGGACGCGCAGACTGATGGGATCAGACTGAGGGCCCAGGAAGGCACCCAAGCTCCATGGCCAACTGCATTTTGACAAAAGAGCCGAGACCTTGCAAGGGGGATGGAGCAATCTGCCGATATACAGTGCTGGGGCCACTGTATATCCACGTGCAAAAGAATGAATTTGGGCCCCTACCTCACACCATACATAAAACTTAACTCAAAATGAACTGAAGGCCTAAATATCAGAGCTAAAACCATAAAATTCTTAGAAGAAAACAGGGGTACAATTTCATGGTCTTGGATTAAGCAAAAGTTTCTCAGGACACCAAAAGCACAGACAACCCAGATCCATGCACTAGATGTCATCAAGCCTTCTTTACCTCTAGAACATCCCTTGCTACCTCTGGCCCCAGGGCCTTTGTACTTGCCATCCTAGTTCCCTGGATTTGGCTTCCTCATTGGGGGCCTCCACGTCTAGCAAGCTCAACCGGGGCTGGCTGGGTCTCTGCCTTTCTCCCGGCTGCAACCTCAGCTCCTATCAATGTCAGGCACCTCTCAGGGGCCCAGGGGACGTTGCTAGGTGAAGATGGAGTTGGGGGGCTGGCCTGAACCACTCCTATGTGCACCCAGAACATCCCTCTCACTGGGCTCCCTCTACGGCATTTCCTCCCTCAGGCTCCTCTGGTACAGCAGGTGCTTTTACAACAGGGAGGTGAGACGAGGGGCCGCGGCTCAGCCTGCCCTTCCCTCATGCAGCCGTTACCTGGGCCCTTGCTAGTTCTTATCCTCAATCTACAGCGAAGACATCGGAAACTCGGGAGGCCCAGAGTTGGGTAGGACGGCACCGAGCCACAGCTTGAACTCGGGCCCGCCGGAGTCCCTGGGCCTGCTTCCCTGGCCTGAGCTGGCCTTTGAGCCCTGAATTCCCGCCCTCAGGAGTCCTGGCAGGCATCTGAGTCAGCCCACACCACACCCAGCTTCTCTTGTTTAAAGCATTTGTACATCTCTGCTCCAGAGTTGCTCCTGCTGGTCCCATTTCACAGATGAGCCCATGAGGGCCTGGAGATGAGGGGAGGGACCTGGTCAGAGAAGGACAGTGGGCACGGCTGCCAGGCCCAGCTCAGAGCTGCTTCTCCTGCTCCCCAACTTCTGGGCATCCGCACCTCCCTGAGCCAACATGCCGTCTCTGCACCCCACCAGGCTCCTGGTTAGTGAATATATTCCTCTTAATAGGCTCGCCGCTTAATTAAGGAAATGTATTTAAGCAGAAACATTTATCCACCCATAAAGGGAAGTAAGACTTCCTTCATAAATAAAGTAGCCGTAAAAACAAATGCGGAAAGTAAATCACCATTATTGCCTCTTGGCTAGAAGCCAAGGCTGGCCTAAGTCTCTGGGCCCGGAACTCGCTCTTTCTTTGTTCCAAAACATGTTAGGGAAGTTTCTAGTCTTCCCTCGCACCCAGCTGGGGCCTTCTTCTCAACGAAAGCGGGTCGATTTGATGAGGGTGGGTAAAGGAGTATCTCCTCCGTGATGTGATTCAGTATTGATTAATACCAGTCCTCAAGCCGCCCAGAGTACACCCTGCAGCGGGCCCCACGGGGACCCTGCACCCTCCTTGTCTGGCCTGAGTGTCGACCTTATTAGAGAACAGGGCTATGAATGATGGTCGATGAGGGGACGGTACCGAGGGCCTGCACAGCCGGCTGCCGGCCCAGCCCGATCCCACACCCTGGGAGGCCAAGACAGGGGTGTCAGGGCTGGCGCTGCAGCACCTCCCGGAGCTCCGTGTTAGGAGAGCAGCAAGGCTTGTTGGCAAGTGATTGGATTCCAGGGTGAAATCCCGTCGGTGGACTGACCCACTTGAGGGATTGGTCGTTTGCATGGACCACTGGGTGGGAGTTTAGGCAGGTAGGAAGGAGGTCACTGGGACACTGTCGTGGGCTTGGTCTTGTCCCTGGCTCTTCCCTGGGTCTCTCTGCTTCCTGGCTGCCATAGGGGGTTGGTGTCCCTCGGCCGCACCCTTCCACCGTGATGCTCTGCCTTACCTCAGGCCCAGAGCCATGGACAAAGGGGACCATGGGACCTCTGAAGCTGAAGCCAAACGAGTGTCTCCTCCCCGGAGCTGTTCTATCAGGGGTTTCCACCCAGCGACCCAAAGCTGGCTCACCAAGGAGCAGAGGACAGGGCTTGATGACAGCTGTTACGGGGGACACGGAGACGCCTACCCCGGGAGCTGGGGGCTGAGAGCGCCCAGGTCACGCGGGCTCCGAGCTCAGGTGTCTCTCGTCCCCGGGCGGCCACCAGGAGGATGAGGAGCGGTACCTCAGACTCAGGCCCCCGTACAGGAAGGAGATCCAGAGCCAGCCGGCCAGCAGGAACAGCAGCATGAGCGGCAGCGCGAAGATGAACCAGGAGCCGAAATTCACCACGTCGCACTGTGGAAAGAAGCTGAGGACAGCGGGGGTGGGGAGGGGACGGTGGTCAGGGTGCAGCGACCACAGGGGGCCCCGGGATCCTCCTTTTCTGTGGGGACGCTCTCTGACCTCGTGGACTGAAGGGCACCTGGGGCCACAATGAAGCGGGACGGGGGCCACGGAGCACAGTGCTCGGCCACCGAGCTCCCCATCTCCAGGAGAGAGCGGGGCCCAGCAGGCCCAGCCTGGCGTGCTCCGGAAGGTCACCGAGATGGTTTTAGTCAACCCACGCTCCGTGGGCTGCCACCTCGCCCTAGCTGGATGGCCTCCCTGAGCCCAGGCCTGCGCCCCCGCGGTGAGGTCCCTGGGGGGGTCTTTCTCTGCTACACGGGCTCAACCTCCGACTGTGAGCACACCATCAAGGCTGAAAGGAAGGATCCAGGGCAACAGACCGGGAGGGTGTGGGGGACGGGATTCCTGGTGCTTGGTCAGTGGAACAATGTTTCCTGGAGAAGAATTTGGTCAAGTGCATTGAACCAAAGGCTGAATGTTCTCTCTGGTAAGTGGATGCTGATCCATAATGTGGGGAGGGAGCACGGGAGACTGGAGGAACTTTGGACTGGGCAGAGGGGAGGCAGGGGTGAGGAGGGGGCATGGGTAGGTGAGAAGGCAGAATGAGGGGGGAACAGGACCCCAGGTTCATGTACGATTGCGTGAACCGTGCGACTCTGCAGTCACGCACAACCAGAGAAATGAGAAGTCGTGCTCCATTTGTGTACAATGAAACGAAATGCATTCTGCTGTCATGGATAACTAATTACAACAAATTAAAAACGATTTTTTAAAAAGTGCATTGAGTCTTAAAAAAATGTGTGTACCCTCTTATGCAGAAATTGTTACTAAAAATATGCATTAAGAAAACAGCAATCAAATGCAGTCAGGAATGTCTGTGCTAGACTGGAAAGGAAAACAAGTTGTAAAATGACAATACACATGTGCTCATAGGCCTTTTAAAATAAATAATAAATAAATAACCAAAATATAAAGTTACTTTATAATAAACACACAAATGAATAAAAATATTAATATACAATAGAGTGGGACCCTGAGAGACTTTTATTTCATTCTTTTTCTTCATCTGTATTTTCTACCATGAATAAGAATGCCTCTATGAGTAGACAAAAGAAAAAGAAAAATATTGTTCTAAAATATTAACATATTAGCAGATATGTGGTCAGTCTTATAATTCATAATAACAAAATAAAAGTAAGATGAAAGCAATCTAAATTCTCATGATTAATAAAGTGTGACACTTAGCCAAAACAGGATAATTGATAGCTATTAAAAATTTATGTTTTCTATAAAATTTTAATGTGAAAATCAGGCTCCAAAATAGTACAGGGCTGGCGATGTAGCTCAGTGGTACAGAGCTTGCCTCGCAGGCCTGAGGCCCGGGTTCAATCCCCAGTACTGCCAAACACAAACACAAAGGCTAAGCTACACAGATAATGGGTATCTGAACACAAAAGAGCCCGAGGGAAGCCTTGTAGCAGTGGAATTGAAGGCATTCTATACTTTTAATTTTTTCTCAATTTTCTGTTTTATAATGTGCCTGTATTATTTGATAATCAAAATAAAACAGTAAAATGTGTTTAGAAGCAGGACCAAGGATCAGGCAGGGCAGCCACTTTCTTTTTAATGGGAGAGATTTTCTTTTACAGTTTCTCTCTCTCTCCACCATAAGTTCCAAGTTTGTGCATACAATTTGCATAGATGCAAACGTATTTGCATACAATTTGCATGTGATTTACTCAAAATCCTGTGTATTTGGCATTTTCATTTAACAGCCCCAGTGCTTCCTCCCTGATTTCTTTTCAAGTTGAGACACAATCCTGCTCACATCAGGGTAGGCAGGCGGCCTGGAAACTGGCTGACACGACTTCTCTTTCCCAGTACCCCCCCAGGCCCCAACTCAGACCCTGGTCCTGCACCCAGCGCCCACGGCTTCCTGTCCAGCCCTGGAGACAGGCTTCAGCAAGCCCAGGGCCAAACACCGGCCACCTGGCAGTGCACAACTAGGAAAGCGGAAGGCCACGCCGGACCCTCCCAGCCCTGGAGCAGGACCACCTGCTTTCTGGCTTGTCTGTTGTGGATCCACACCATGAGGCACAGGCCCGCCGCGCTGCAAGACTAGAGACCAAGAGACACCTGGGGTTTGCAGTGAAACTCAGCGGCTTTAAACCACGGGTACAAGGGGAGGCTCAGGTCCCATCCCACACCTCCTAAGTCAGAATCTCTGAGAGGGAGGCCCACACCTATTTCCTCACCTCCCTCTGTGATTCTGAGGCATGTGCAGCTGAGATCTTAAAATGAAAGGATTTGGGATCTGAGAGTATGGTGACAATTCATCTTACCCAGGAGTTCACTAAGGCCAAACGGGGAGGGGTACCGAAAACTTCTCATTAGAGTAACCTGGGGGGCATGCTCTGGTGGAGCGCTTGCAGAGCACGCCCTGGATCTATAACCAGCTCCACATAATGAACAAAAAGCAAAAAGAGAGAACTTTGATTCCTCACGAGATTGAGACCAACAGGGCCCCCTCTCCGGACCATCCTCACAGATGGTGACCGCTGAGCACCAGGCAGAGAGGCCAGCTAGCATTTGTGGCCACGCTGACCTCAACCACTGTTAGCTGCTGTTTGCCAAAAGCTTACATTTGCAGTTATGCAAATCAACAATCACAGGATTCATCTCCACTGCAAAAGAACCTCCCAGAATCCTGGAACCTGAACTCCATAGACACAGAATCTTGAAATACTGAGCTTTTAAACTTCAAGAAACTAAAGGCTTGGGATAACAGGATGAGGTCGTGCAGTGAAGAGTCCTTCTCTTCTGTCCCCCTGCCCTGGCTGCCAGCAGCCCTGTCACTTGGGGACCTGTTCAGTGGGGGGAGCAGAGCCTGCTCCACGGCACACCCACCCCCCAGCATGGTTGAAGGCTTCTCTCGGCTCTTCCCAGCCACAGAGCAAGCCCCAGCAGGGGTCTGTTTGTAAAGCACCGTGTCATCCTCTGCTGTCCCCCCCCTTCCCATCCCTGTGGAGGAAGATCTGGTCCCTGGGTGCTGCTTAGAACCCCACACCTCCTTCGCCCGCCAGCCTCCCACATCTTTCTTCCTTTCTTTTTCTGGGTGGGTCTTGCTGTCGCCTGGGCCGGCCTTGAACTCCTGGTTCAAGCAATCCTCCTGCCTCAGCTTCCCGAGTAGCTGGGACAAGTGCTCCCCAGCGTCCTGGCTCTCCCTGCCTTCCTGTTCCCTGGGCTCCCCAGGAAAGTCCCACCTCAAAGCCTTTGCGCAGCCGATCCCGAGGTCTCAAATGCTCTTCTGACCTGTGTCCCCACAGCTCATGCCCTCACTTGTAGGTCTCTGCTAAATGTCACCTTGGCAGAGGGGACAGGTGTCCCTGACCAACCTGTTACAACAGGACACCTCTCCTGTCCTGCTTTATTTACTGTCACACATATAACATGTATCCCTCTGTCTCCCGTTACTGCCGGTCTCTCTGCCAAACAGGAGCTGCCACGGCGGAGCTTGGCTAGACCTCGAGCATCTCTGTGTCCCTAGAGCCTGGCCAAAGCAGTACACCTTCCCGGGATGCGGATGAGCGAGGGGATGCGGGGATTGAGATGGAAGCCCAGGCCAGGGGCACTTGCTTTTTACCTCTTGAGCTGGCCCAGCAGGATGAGGTTGGGGGCTGTGCCCGTGAGGGTGGCGGTGCCCCCGATGCTGGCCGAGTAGGGGATGGAGATGAGGAAGCCCTTCCAGATGTTCCTGCGATACTCCTCCTCCTTCTTGGAGTCAGCCGGCAGATCCAGCGGGGCCTCCACCTCGTCAGGGTGGCCTCTGTTTGAACACCCACAGAGAAGCCGCTCAGAACCCAGCCAGAGAAGCAGCTGCCGGGGTCGGGTCTGGGGGACTTTCTAGAGGCAAATTCAGCCTGGACATTGACCACCTTCGCTGCAGGAAGGTATCCTAAAGAAATGAGGCAGTGCCCCAGGTGTGGGCGCAGGAGCTCACTGAGGCATTGAATGTTATTTAAATCAAAAGCAAACTAAAAATCCACCAAAAGGGACCAGCCAAGCCAAGAGGCTCTCTTTCTGGATGGAGCAGCTATACGGATATGGGGACAGGTGACTGAATGAATGTCCATTGACATAAGAACTCACCATCACCCGGACTCAGCGAAAGGCAGGAGACAGTACAACTTAGGGTTTCTTTTAAAATATTCATGTTTTGTGAATAGGTGAGTGTTGAAAATGTAGAATAAAGTAGACAGAGTTGTTTTGGTCCCTTTCTAGAAGGAGGTGGAATTATGTATTGTTTTCCTCTTTGATTCTTTATTTGAATTTTCTGGGTTGTTTGTTCTTCTTGTGCAGTGGAAGAGTTTCGAGAAGGAATGAAATGAAGAATTAATTATATCATTAAGAGATCATGATATTGGCATGAATTTATTAAAGTAAAAAGGTGTCTATTAAAGTAAAAAGGTGCCCACTACACTCCATGGAAAGACTTGGAGGGTTACAAAACTGTGTGAATGACATTATAAATTTTTTATTTCTATTTATTTATTTATTTTCGGTACCGGGATTGAACCCAGGGGTGCTTAACCACTGAGCCACATCCCCAGCCCTTTATAATATTTTATTAGAGACAGGGTCTCCCTGAATTGCTTAGGGCTTCGCTAAGTTGCTGAGGCTGGGTTTGAACTTGCGATCCTCCCACCTCAGCCTCCTGAGTCACTGGAATTACAGGTGTGGGCCACACGTTTTTTTTTTGTTTGTTTGTTTTCAAACATGCATTTACGTATAGAGAGAGATACCAAGAAATCATCCACGACGGTGTTCCCTTGACTCTTAATCTGTCTCTGGGAAGGAGATGCTGGTCACACTTGTTTTGACCTATGCTCTCATAAAAGCATCTCTAAGTAGATAGACTAAGAACTCTCTGCTCTGTCTGTGGGGTGGTGAGCAGGCTCGTTAGCCTGACTGGTAATGACCTCTCAGTGTGTACCTATTGAAAGCCTCACATGGAACGCCTTAAATCTAACACAGCTCCATTCATCAGTTATACCTCAATAAATCTGAAAAGAGGAGTTGAAGCAATTTTTAAACCTTACTTTTTAAGATTAAAATTTATTTTCAGACACTTTCCCCAGAGGGCAACGGGGACCTGCCCCGGGGTCTGGGTACTGGGTTTCCAGTCTCACAGGAAGGCCAAGACCCGAAACAGCTGGAAACAGATGAGGCCTGACTTCTTAGGAATGAGAGGCCTGGTCAGGAGCCATGGTCTGCTTCAGACCCGGGCCCCGATCAGCCTGAGACCAGGGACCAGGGGGCAGGTAGGCTACAGCGCACTGAGCGCAGCCCTGCTTTACGCAGATGGGGAAGCTGAGGGGTCTGCAGCCCTGGATATGGTCTTCCTGTTGGTGGGCACCAGGTCTCGTCCAACGTACCCAACATGTGCTCTGCATGGGCAGATGTCAAAATATACTCCCAGGTCACGTGGTCCTGAGTGGCTGGATCAGTCACAGAGGTCACGTCTTAAAGTTGGCTCAAAGGCCCTGGATGTGGTGCCGGGAAGGAGCCCAGGCCACGGGAGCCACTGATAGAGACCACGCCTCCCCGTTGCTCCCATCTTGGTCAAAGCCAAGGCTGTGACAGTGGCCCAGGGGGTCCCACACACCGTCTTTCCACCTGCACCTTCTCGTCACCCCAGCCACCTCTCTGCACCCACCCCCATCTGCTCACGCAGGCTCAGCCACGCCGGCCTCCCGTGGCTCTGGGAACCCCCAGGAGCTGGGCAGGCGCTGCCCCTCTGCTGGCAAGGCCCCCCACAGATGCCCGCGACCTCACCTCCTGCGGGGCTCCCTTGGCAGGACCCTCCTGGCGAGCCTTCCCGGCCTTAACCTGCCCTTTCCCCCCCCCTGGCTCCCCTTGCTTTGCCCCACAGTAAGGGCTTCACTCGCCAACCTGGCTCCCCCAGGGCTGGTGCCTTCCCCGCCAGCCCTGCGCCCTCCCTAAGCGCGTGTCCAGTGAATGAAGCCGCCCACCCATCCCGGCTCTGCCCAGACAGCCCTGCGCTGCCTGCTCTTCCGTGCGTATTGGATGAGGAAGATGACACTTTAGTAACAGGTGCCCACCGTGTATACGTCAGACCCGGGCAACCTTTATCCACACTATCTCACCTAATCCCAAAACAACTCTCGGAGGTGGGCCCCAACATCACGTCCAGTTGGTAGGTGAGCACTAACTGAGGCTCAGAGAGGTCAAGCAACTTGTTCAAGTCACACAGTCAACAAGTAGCAGGGCTAGAATTCCACGTAGGTCTGTGCGACTCCACACCCTGGGGCCTTAACCATGCTGCCGTAATACAAAGGACACTGCAGAACAAACGTGACAATGATGTGAAGATGTCACATAGGGTGGAGGACGGCCATCAGATCACAGGATATGTTTGTCCTTAGAGCCTCTTAGCCTGGCCTCCCCTCCTTGACGACCATGTGGCCAGCTCTTCTCCTCCCTGGATCCCTCCTGTAAGAGGAAAGCCCCCAGCCCCCAACCCCCAGCCCCTCGGGGATTCCTGTGCCTCTGTCCTCTCCATGGTGGCTTCGTTTAAAGGAGGCCATTGAGGCCATGTCCAAGCCACAGGGAAACTCGGGCACTGGGTTGTCTGGAAGGCCTCAGGGCTGGCCAGGGGAAGGCCGAAGCAGATCCTTGAACCAGGCATTTCTCCCCCAGAATTTCCCCAGGAACTTACTCTTCGGTGCTGGCCAGAAAGCGCATCTCCGTGGGCACTGTGGGCAGGCCGCTCCTCCGCACGGCAGCTGGGGGGAAAGAAGGGCGACGTAAGTCGAAGCAGCAGAGGGGACAGGGGCACTGGCTCTTAGGTGGCCAGTCGAGGGGCCTCTTCCTGGCCAAAGACCCTGTGCTATTCATTTAAAGAAAACAGGTGAGGGAGGAAGGCAAGGAGGGGGGAGGGGAGACCAGGGACTCACCCCCTCCTGTCCCACCATCCGATCTGGAGATGGTCCCGGGGCCTGTGGGCAGGAAGTCAGCTGCAAGGCCACCTGGCCACCCATAACCCAGGCCCAGGCTCACCCGAGCAGCCATTGCCGAAGGGCTATTTGAGAATGACCAGCTGTGAGGCGTCATGGATTCAGCGCCCAAGAGGGATGACAGGGTTTTTGCAAGCATCTCTGGCCTGGCCAGGGAGAAGGGACTGCGGGGGCCCAAACTGGGAGCTGGGAACCCAGGCAGGGCCTATCCCCTTCTCCAGGTCACGCGGTGGGCGTTGGACTGGGCTGGTGGCCATAGAGATGCCGAGAGTAGATAAGCCGGGCAGGTGTTTCTGTTCCTCTGAGACTTGACCTCAGGACCACCTGGAACTCAGGGCAGGAACTCAGTCACACGAAGCCTCGCCCATCGATCCACGGAGAAATCTTCATGGAGTAAGTGTCTCTCGTGTGTCGGGCACTGAGTGTCAAGGCACGGAAATCCGTGTCCTGCGGTTCTTACCCTCAGTGGGGGAGACAGACCACAGACACGTAAATACACGTGGTATGTCAGACGAGGGGTGTCGCGGAGAACAGGGCAGGGAGGGACCACGGCTCTGGGGTGAGACATTTTTTCAAGAGTCCGACTGAGAAGAAATTCCCACGGAGAGGAGGGTCTGCCCAAGAAGGAAAATCTGTCATCTGAGACCTGAAGGAGGGGAGTGGGGAGCCCCGCAAATGCCCGGGGCCATGAGGAGTTGGTGCAAAGGCCCCGAGCAGGAGAGAGCCCGTGTGTCAGGAAGCCCGAGACCAGGGGCTGGTGGAGCCTGGGGGGGAGGCAGAGGCGGGGTGGCAGGAAAAGGGCTGCCGCGCAGGGTCTCGGAGCTCACGTAAGGAGTTCGGCTTCTCCTCCGAGCCACACGGGAGCCAGGGTGGAGCCTGAGCAGAGGAGGACCGCTCAGGATCTGACTTCCTTCTGAAGTCCCCTCTGCTTAGCGACCACACTCCCCAGGAGCTTGCACAGTGTTTTGGAGAAGAGAAAAAACCGAAAGGATTTAAGTCCTGCAGTTGGAGCCACCACCCAGGACCCTGGGAGCTGGGTGTGGGGCTGCTGGTGCAACTGGGGCCTGGTTCCGTCACTTACTATGTGGCCTCAGGTCAGTGGTTCAACCAGGGCCAATTCTGCCCCCAAAGGACACTGAACAATGACTAGGGACGTTTTTTGTCACAGGGATTTGGTGGGGATGCTGCTGCACATATTAGAGACCATGAATGCTACTAACCGCCCCCCATAGCAAGCCAGGCCCCCAACAAAGAGCCCTGTCACCCCAAATGTAATAGTGCTGAAGTCGAGAAGCCCTGGTCCAGATACATCCTTAATTTCCCGTTACTCCGTTCGTGAGTCATAAATGGAGTTACCGTCTCCATACAACTGTCAAGGGGTTAAGGAATGAACCCAAGGAATTCAGGGACAGGCCTGGGGTCAGCTCAGTGGTAGAGCACGTGCCCAGCTTGCATGAGGCCCTGGGTTCCACCCCCAGCATTTTAAAATAAAATAAAAAGATAAAGCAGAGACCAGCAAGCTTCTTCTACGAAGCCAGATAGTAAATATTTTAGGCTTTGGGGCCTTGTGATCTCTGCTGTAAATAATCAGCTCTGCCGGGAGAGCACGCAAGTTACAGTTTATGAATAGCTGGGCGCTGGGACTTGAATTTCACATAATCTCTGCATGTCACAAGACGTTTTTCTTCTTTTAATTTATTTCAAAAAAATATAAAACTATTCTTGATTCATAAGTTGCACAAAAAACAGTTGGTGGTCTGGATGTGGAGGGCCAGGGCGTGCCAGCAGGAGCCGGTGGGCGAGGGTGCTGTGCGGGACACAGAGCAGGGTGCTGGATGCTGGGGCCAGGCCACGTGGTCCTCCTGCGGGACCTCCAGCTAACAGAGCAAGACCACTTCCTGGCCTGGTCTAAGTGCAAGGTCACTGTGCTGCCCAAGAACCCCAGCACCCGCTCCTTGCTAATGAGCGACGCTCTTTCCTGACCCAGGTGTGGATGCGCCCTGGCTGCTGGCCTCACCCATCGGGGACCGGCCGGGCTTCCACAGGCCCTCCTCCAGATGACCTGAGGGGCGGCCCAGTCCCCAGCAGGTTCTGGTGACCCCTCTGATGAAGACGCTTGTGGCCTGGGGTGCAGGCTCTCACCCCTGCTGTGGTGGATAGTCAACTGATTTAAGTAGACATTCCCGGGGGACTTTGGCTGAAGGACATTGATACTCTCAAAGAAAGTCCAGCAAAATGTTTGATTTTTCCTCTTTACATGGGATTTCCTTCAGGAAATCAGTCACGTACTTACCACGTGGAGGAGCAGGAAGGGTCTAGACCCCAGCCTTGGCTCTCTCCCTGGCTTGCTCACCCAGTGGCTTGGGGAAGTCATCGTCCCCACCCCCGCCCCCCAAGCTGGGTGGTTCCTATTGGTACTAGGAGGGAACAGGGTTTTATGGCAGCAGCTGGGGTCATATTTGCTGTGCCTGGGGCGGGTGCTGTGACCACCAGAGAGGTCTGAAGGCTGAAGTCAGCCGGCTCACCCTGAGTGGCGGGGACCAGGACCTCAGGGCTCAGGTGACAGTAACACACATGCACACCTGAGGCTTGAGCCCTGAGCCCAGGGCACTAAAGCAGAAGGTGGAGCCGTCCACAGCACATGGTGGGTGAGGAGAGTCGCTCCCCAGGGGATAGCTAGACAGGAGGACTCGGTGACTGGGGTCCCCACCTCCAGCACCCTCTGCACCACTCCCCGTGGGCTGGGCCGCTGCTGCCACACCCCTCCGGCCTCCCCGAGCTCCACACAGCTGGCCCTGGCTGGCCCTGAGGAGTCCCCAGGGCGGGGGTCCCTATGGGGGACTCTGGGGTGGGGCCTGGGCCTCAGTATCTTCAGCAAGTTCTGCGGGCACCCCTTTTGTGCAGCCAGGGTTGAGGGCAACTTGTGGAAGTTACTGGTGGAAAAATGAGGCTCCCGCGGCTGCCCGGCCCTGGTGGGGGCTCCACATGCTCCTCCCTGGAGGCCGCTGGAGGCCAGACAGGAGTTGGAGCCCAGCCGGGGTCGGGGTTCGCCGCACACACCCCGGTGGAGGGGACCGGCGATGGGCGGGGAGTCCCGTTTCTTATGAGTTAGGTGACATCAGTCCCCGGGCCTACTCTTCTAAGGACGGTGCCGATGAAGCCAAGGGACATGGAGTTGGAAGCCGGGGCAGCAAGGCGACAGCTTAACGATTCACCAGAGGCCTCCCCTGGGCTTCCTGTGGCCGCGGGGGCCGAGAGGCCACACGAGAGCCGGCTGCTGGGGCAAAGTCTCCGGAGGGACTCCTCTGGGTGCAGAAGTCGGGGTCAGCCCGGAGCTCGGCGCTTACGTAAGGGTTAGTCAACACCGTGATCCTTGAGTTCGAGGGGCCGAGAAGGCTCACTGGCGGTGGAGGACAGAGCCCAGCAGCCCTGGGCGCGGGCAGGGTTGGCCACCTTTCCCCTCCACCCGGGAAACCGAGGCCCAGACGGGCGGGCAAAGCTGGGCGGGGTGGCGCTGGCCTGTAACCCCAGCAGCTCGGGAAGCTGAGACAGGAGGGGACTTCAGAAGCCCCCACGTTAGGCAGGTGCCATCCATGAATTCATCAGCACTCCTGACGCCCCAGGAGGCCACTTACCACCCCTACTGCATGTCCGAGGGGCTAGGGGCGGAGGCTTAGAGCTGGTTGATAACACGGCCAGAGGGCACTCTGGGTGAGCAAGTGGGCAGGGCAAAGGCTGTCACAGCGGTGACGGGCAACACAGGCCCTCAGGGAGCAGGGAGTCCGTGGGGAGGCCCCAAGGAGCCGGCGAATAGCCCTCTCCACCCACCACAGGGCGGGTCTTCCCACTGCTCCTCCCACTGCTGGAAGCTCCTCCCACTGCTGGAAGCTCCTCCCACTGCTGGGAATCCTAGAGAGATTTTTCCGCAGCGGCCACATATGAGCCACTTCCTATGTGCCTGGCTGTCGTTTCTCACGTGTCACTCATCATAAGACAAAATGGGGATATTTTGTCTTTATAGACAAGAAGAGGCTCAGGAGGTGGGTTGGCTGAATGAGGGAAGAGGAGGGCAATGTTTAACGCCACCCGAAAGATGTCTCTGTGACAGATGGTGCATCTCGGACATTCCTGAAGGAAAGTCATGGGTGGCAGCATGCCTGGGTGGCCTTCTTTGGGCAGAGAAAAGGAGGAAAAGGTTCAGATTTGAAAGCCAGGTAGAGGTGGGTGCAGGGGTACACACCTATAATCCCAGTTACTTGGGAGGCCAAGGCAGGAGGATCGCAAGTTCAAGGCTAGCCTCAGTAACTTAGTGAGACCCTGTCTCAAAATTAAAAAATCAAATTAAGACCTGGGAATAAAACTCAGTGGTAGAGCAGTTCCCTGGCACACACAGGCCCCTTACTGGACCCTGAGCAAATCACTGAGTTGAGCTTCATTTGCTCCTCTGTAAGATGGGGTGAAAACAGTGCAGCCCACCCCCAAAGCTGGAGGATGAAACGGGAGCACCCCTGTGAAAGGGTGTTGAAGCCACCACTCAGGTGACAGTGCAGAGCACAGGACGGTTCAGGAACTGGAGAGAGGGGGCAGGTCTACCCTCAAAGGCTGAGGACCTCTGGGGTCTTGTCCAGTGAGCCCCATCCTACCCCAGCTTCCCCTGGGCTCCCCTCTGGGCCAGGCCCTACGGCACAGAGCTCATAAACACAGACTAGAGCTCAGCAACTCATTTATGGTGTTACTTTGGGTGAATCATTTTGCCCCTGTGAACCTCAGTCTCTTCATCTGTAAATGGAGGTCATCTACCTCATAGTGCAGTTAGGATTAAACAAGTCGATGGGTTCAAACATTGAGCATGGCATCTGCCATAGAGTGGGCCCTCAGAAAAGGGTGGCTGATATTAGCATTGTGTGGCTGCTATCGATGGCCCTTGTGACCTTGCAGCCTGGAGGAGACGCCCTGCCCCTCTCCTGGTCCATCAGCACGGACTCCACTCCCTCCAGCTCTGGCCTCACCGCCAGCCACCTGGTCAAGGCACAGAACTGGATGGAAGGGACATCTCTCTTTGAGCTGGAATCAGCCTTGTCCTTGCCCCAGAGACTGATCATTAACCAGTCCCTGCTCTCTATCCTGCGGCTGCTGAAGGGCCCCCAGCCTCCCAGGGCCCCAGCCTCCTGACATCCTGTTGCAAGGTCACCACTGTGTGTGACCCTGGGCGAACCCCCTCCCGCTCGGGGTCTCAGACTCTGCGTGCTTGTAAGGAAGGACCTGGTATTCAAACCTCGTGTGTTCATTTTGGAAAAAGAGACTCCTGTGGGAGGCGGAGTAGGGGAGAGAAGGAGCAGCCCGTCCCGACAGCTGGAAACGCTGCCTGGGAGGCCACTGCAGCTCTTCTTATTTCTTCAGCTCCCAGGAGGTCAATGCCAGCTCCCTCTCATTCAGACCCCAGGCCTTAGGAGGGACCTTGCATTAAGTAAGTGCTCAATAAACACAGTTACTGTTCCTAGGAAGGGCAGCCTAAGATAAAGAGGGCTCAGCCGGGGTTGAAAGGGGACAAGGTGCAGAGACCTGGGGAGACAGTTTAAAAACCAATAAAGCCAACAATGCAGAGCAGGGGCAGCCGCGCACGGTTTGCAGGTAGAATCCGGCCATGACCTGTTTCTGTACCACCTGCCAATGGAGACTGGAGTTCACATTTTTAAGTGGTTGAAAAGATCAGTAGAAGAATAACCGTTCAGGATGTGACAGTATATGAGATTTTAACTCATTAATAAAATTGTGTTAGCGCCCAGCCACGCCCACTGGCACTCTGCCACTCACTTCAAAGGCAGAATTGAGTAATCGCGACAGAGCGGCCGGCGGAGCCTAAAATATTTACTATCTGGTTATTTACAGAAAAAGTCTGCCAGCCCCAGCTTCTCTCCCCTCCCATGGAGAAGACTTTGCCCTCGAGGAGACCCGGGGTCGCTGCTTGACCAGCGACGACATATGAATGAACCATCTCACTTCTCCAACCCCGTCTGTACAGGCTGATGATCATTCTGAGCTCTCAGGGCCGTTGTGGGAACAGAATACACAGGAGCCACTGTGCACAGAGATACCAGCAAGTGACATGGCTCAGATGCCACACGGGCCAGCATTTAGTGGGGCCAGCATTTAACTTTGATCAGATCCGTATTGACTGGAACACATACTGGAAAAGAATGTGACCAGCACCTAGAACCAACAGAGGCGTGGAGGATGCGGTCGGTCGTGAGTCATGAAAACGACCCAAATCTGCTGGGACCCATCTGCCATCTCTCTCTCAAGAGGTGGCTTCTACCTCTAGGTCCCCGGTGGCGTCTCTCATAGTTTCATGGACCCAGGGGGAAGCAGCGAGCAGGAAGGCAGAAGCTGACATCATTCCCACTTATGTACCTGAGGCCAGATTCAGCCTCCTGACCACATCCGGCCGCAAGGGAACCCGGGAAATCCAGCCTTTTCTCTGCAAAGTCCCGAGCCCACGGGGTCCACTGCCAGGAGAGCTCCAGAGAAACTGGTGTGGGACGAACAGCGATCTGTACCCACACACGGATCAACTAAAGCTTCTTTTAAGAAATAGGACATTTTAGAGCTGGGGTGCAGCTCAGTGGCTGGAGAGCATGCCTCCCACACCCAGGGCCCTGGTTCAGTCCCCAGCACCACAAAAGAAAAAGAAAAAAGAAAGAAATGAGACATTTTAAAGTGGAAGTGATGTGACAGCTGTGCGCAGCCCTGGGAGAAAGGCCCAGGGACTCGGGTTGCCGAAGAAGAGCGCACGTCCCTGTGCCCTGGACTGACCTGGACGGCCTTTCTCCCGCTCCTGGGTACCTGAGGGAAATGCATCTCTGCTTCTGCAGTGGCTTGAAGATGTCATTCTCTGAGTTGTAGCCACAGGATTCCCTCTGGCTCGGCTGATTCCCTCTGGTGGCACCAGTGGCTCTGGAGCACAGTGCCAGGCCTGAGTCAGGCTCCATCATCTGCCCACTGTGTGATCTGGGGAGGCTGCTTGCCCTCTCTGGGCCCACAGAGTGGTCTAAAGCATGGTAGCCGCTGTGGGGTTTTGCAGTCGGTTTGTTTTTGCTAAGAGCACAATTTCAGAGGGTGGGGGTCACAGGGCCAGGTCACGGCACAGGGCCACTGTTGGCTGCCCAGGTCCCTCTTCGGTTTCATTTTTTTTTAAGTTTCTACTCTCGCCGTTCCCCACTTGGACCCTCCTGTAGCAGCTTCCCCACAGGCTAAGAGGCAGCTGTTGCCTCCTGTCCTCTCCTTCCTTCCCTTGTCTCCTTCCTTCCTTCCCTTTCTTTCTTTCCTTTCCTTTTCTTTCTCTCCAGGAATTAAACCCAGGGCCCTTCACCTCTGAGCGACACCCCTAGCACTTTCATTTTTTATTTGGAGACAGGGTCTCTCTCACTTAGGCCTTGCCAACTTGCTGAGGCTGGCCTCCAACTCGGGACCTCCTGCCTCAGCCTCGCAGGTCGTCGGGACCAGAGGTGTGCACCACGGTGCCCAGTTTATACTCCTTATGTTCTTACAAAACGCCGTGTCATCCACATGTGCACATGTTTAATTCACATGTTGTCCTTGGGGCCTGTACCTCATTCTGGTTTTTCCACAATCAAAACTGTTTTAAGAGATCCGTTTCTGTAACTGTTGGGTTCGCTGGTTCTTGTCTTAAAAGCGGTGCTGTGCTTGGTGTGTGTCATCAACAGAGCCCGCGTGACCGCCAACTCCTCACCCCAGGAAGAACGCACAGGCACTGGGGCTTCATCCCCCAGGAGCAGAGCTGCTCCCCCAGGGCAGAGGCACATTTGGCTTCCGCACACTCCTGAAGAGCATGATGTGTAGCTTTTCTCCTTCCTTCCTCCCTTCCTTCCTTCCTTCCTGAAAGGCCGGCCCAGACCACACTCTTTCTAGCAGTGCACCAGCGTTCCCACGGCCACGTGGCTGCCAACACTGGACATCATCCAGCTTTCTTATTTCTACACGTCTTATTGATTCAAATCTCATTGCTTCAGTTGGCATTTCTCTGAGAATTAGGTTGAACATCTGTTCAATGCTTTCAAGCAAAGTTTCATTATAGGATCCAGTTCAAAGGGTTATGTGGAGAGTTAAAGGAACCAATACAAATGCTCAATAAGTGCAAAAATTGGAAAACCAAAGTCCCACAGTTGGACTTGTCTAATTCTCGATCATTACTAATAAACATTTGACGCCTAGAAGGTGCTCTGCAGGTGCGTATTCCCTTGGCTTCTCCCGGTTTCCTTTGGTTGTCCCTGCTCCCCTCCCTTCATGCGGTAGAGCGGCCGCAGTGCCCTTGCACAGCCTCACCTGTGTTTTCATCACCTTCCCAACTGAGCTCCTTCTGAGCCTCCTTCTGGCCAAAGAGACTCTTCAGGATGGCGTTGGCAATGGGCAGCATCATGGCCGTGGAGGCGGTGTTGCTGAGCCACATGGACAGGAACGAGGTGGTCACCATCATCCCCAGAATGAGCCTGGGGACAGAGGGAGATAGAGTCAGAGCCTGAACCCAGGGTCCACGAGGTCCTCTGGGCCCAGGTTCCCTCCCTGAGGAATCCAAGCCATTAGTTTCACAGGTGCAGAGAAGCAAGTCAGTGGCCAACGGGACCAACAAGCTGGGCTTGCTGGGATCTCAAGAGCCCCGGCCACTGTGTGAGTGAACGGCCACAGGCTCCCGGGGAAAGGGAATCCAGAGCCATTTCAACCAGATCCTCAGTGTCACCCATTTCAGGATAAAGTTGCCGGACACCAAGACTCCTGCCATCTTGCCGTACGACCTTCCCAGTCTCCCTCCGGCCCCCACTCCCACCAGCACCCAGCGTGCCTGACTCCTCGGCTCCTGGTCTTTGCTTGGTCTGTTCCCACAACAGAATCTAAGTCTCAGGGTGTCGTGGGTTTTTTTTTTTTCATATATTAGTTTCTTAATCCACCTGGAATTCATTCAGATGGTTGTATGAAGTCAGGAGTCAGCAGAGTTTCTTTCATAGATCAGACCAATGACCTCAGCTCCCACCATTTACTGACCCTCCCCCCGTCCCTGCTGGTTCCAGTGTCCTCTGGGTCAGTTCTTCTGTGTCTAGATGGTTCTAAGCCAGAGCCGCGCTGTGCTCGTGGCTGCAGCTTCACCTCCACACCTCCCCGCGCCCCTGGATAGCAAACCCCGCTGGCTGCTGGGCTCAGTTCTCGATGGAGACTGTCCCACAGGATGCACAGCCTCCCCAGGGGACACCTCTACACGGTCAGGCAGATGTCTCGGCAGAGTGGATGCTGGAACCTAGCGGTCATCCACAGCGTCTCCTCCCCTGCCCCCACAGATTGTGTCGCTCAAAGAGCTCTCAGGTCTCTCCCTTCTGTCCTTCTCCACTGCCACCCTCTAGTTCAAGCCGTCACCATCCCTTGTCACACCCAGAACAGCCTCCCAGCCAGGCTGCACCTGGCTTCTCACCTGCAGCCCACCACATGTGGCCAAGAGGAGGCTTAAAAATGTAAATTTGCCAAGTCACTCCCCGGCTCAGGACCCTTTAGGTCACCCCCTGGCTCAGGACCCTTTACAGCAGGGGGTTGTGGCTGCAGAACCCTGGCTTAGCGATGATGCTCAAAACGGTTTCATCACTAGCTCTTGCCGTGCGCTGGGTTCATAAAAGGGCTGTTACGGCAAAATGTGTTTTAAAAATACTGTTTGAGTAACTGCATTTTGCTCCAGTTGGGGTTGTGGTTGTTGTTTTAAATCCTGAAAACTGGATTGCTTCATGCAATTTTAAACATCATTCTGAGGAAAAAATCTTAAGATTCACCAAATTGCCAAAGGGGTTCATGGGAAAAAAACAATAGACTTGTGCACACACACCCCTCAGCTAAAGGCCACCCACCCCTGGGAGAACGGGGTCCACATCCAGAGGGCTCGAGGCTTTGCAGGGTTGGGTCCAGCCTCCGCCTCTCCTGGGCCATCTTCCCACCCACTTTGCGTCCCCAACGGCTCCACCCCATCACCCGGGCTGCTAAGCAGCGAGCAAGCCTGAGAGGGCAGGGCTCAGGGACAGCCCGCAACAACCTTCTAGTGCCCACAGGGACTCTGTGAATCAAGGTCCATCGCCATGTCCAGGCAGCGAGTGGCAAAGTCACATCCCGGGCTGGCCCTGTGGCCTGGCCTTACCTGGCCGGCTGGACTCCCACGAGCATCAGGACCTTGAGGGCGATCCTCCGGTGCAGGTTCCACTCCTCGATGGCAGTGGCCATGATGAGACCGCTGAGGAAGAGGAAGTTGGTGTCGAGGAAGTACTGGGGGCAGACCTTGCTGGAGGGCAGGATGCCCAGGAAGGGGAAGAGGACGATGGGCAGCAGCGCTGTCACCGACAGGGGCAGGGCCTCGGTGCACCAGTAGACGGCCATGAGCAGGATGACGAACAGGCAGCGGCCCTCCTGCAGGGGACATGCACAGCTGGGGGCGCGCCCGGTGCAGAGGCAGGCGGACGGGCCCACCGGCTCATTCCCAGGGAAGCGGTGCCCTTGGCTTTGACCTTGAGCTAGGGGCATCACCTTTCTGAGCCTCATTTTTCTCGGTACAAAATAGAGAAGCTATTTCTGCCTACTTCACAAGACTGAAAGAAAACTAACCAAAATACTCACTGTCTTAGAGGTAAACCCCTAGGTGAGGATGAGAATGGAAATACTTGATTTAATAGGGGACCCCAGAAAGTTCTGGAAGGGTGTGGGCAGGTGACACAGAGAAGGGGCCAATACAAGGTGAGTTTACGAGAAGTTTCCACTGTGGGCAGTTGGAGCCACAGTCCTGGTGGGGAGCCTGGGACGCAGTGCAGGGCACACCCAGGAGCTGTTCTCCCTGGAGCCGAGGCCCTGGCCTGGACCTGCTGAGGCCTGGCCATCGCTGGTTGAGGACGGCTCCTGGGAGCGCTTCCGGCCTCCCCCTGTGCAGGCTGAGCTCTGCTTACAGCCAGAGAAACACTCCTGCAGCCACAGGAAGAAGGATCAGCAGGTGTGGGCCCGGGGACCGCCCTGGGGTAGAGGGCACACAGTAAGGACAGCCACAGCTGGGCAGGTGCAGCGGCCAGCACGGCACGCACTCAATGCACAAAGACGGTGACCATCACACTCATCCTGTCCTGTGCACCACCTGACCTACCAACCCGTGTCCCGGTTTGGAAATGAGGCATCCTGAGCCAGGATTGCGACCTCGAATGCTCACAGGAGCCTGACGTGCCACCGTGGAGCTCTGGGGCTCCCTCGCACAATCTCGCACCGTTCACTTTGCCAAGAAGACATTTTGCCTTTCTTTGGGGTCTGTCACGAGACGCCAGACTGCCAGGTGACAGTGCACTCCTGCCCCTGACATTGGCCGTCTGGGGCCCAGCCACCTGCAGCTCATCAGCTTCTGCAGCTCAAGGAGACACACGTGCAGGCAAACCATTCGCCCCAGAGAGATGGGCCCCAGGTAGCCCAGCACCGTGAGCATGGGGCAGAAGAAAGCCATCGGAGGGACTGGGTGGGGACCGAGGAGGGCGCTGCCTTCGTACCAACTTGCTATGGCTGAGTCCCCCCAGCCCCCCAATTCATATGTTGACACCTAACCCCACTGTGGCGGGACCCTCATGAATGCAATTGTAAAAGAGGCCTGAGGGCCTTCTGCCTTGTCCGGGCCCAGCAACAGGTGCCATCTCTGAAGCAGAGAGAAAGCCCCCCTGAGACACTAAATCTGTCAGTGCCTCCGTCTTGGACCTGGCTGGGCTGTTTTAACAGGCTCCAGAACTGTGAGCAATACATTCCTGTTGTTTACCCCTGACCCAGTGGACGGCACTTTTTGTTACCGCAGCTCAAATGGAATAAGACGCTCCTCCATCTCCCTGGACCCTCACCGTTCACAACAGGTGACTCCGTCAGCTTCCTCTGGCTAAGTTGCAAGCTTGGTCAAGATTTCCAAGGACAAAAGACTCCCAGGAACCGCTCCAACCAGGAAGTTTGGTGGCTGTCCAGGTGGGATGGCTGAGGCATGGTGATGCCACCCCCCACCCCGGGTCCTGGTAAGATGGAGGCGCTGTTGTCCCGGAGTAACGTTTTCATCCATTCCCCTGCGATACCTCCATGGTCTTCACGTTTCATGTCTTCACGTTTCACGTTCCCACCGCCAGAAACATTCCTTGGAGCCAAGTCCTCGTTGCAGGGTCCCTCTGGAGGACAATCAACGACAAGCTCCTGGAGACAGTGACATCTTTCTGAGCTAGGATTTGGGAGATCTTTGGTGTGGGGGAGGAGGGGCTGTCTTCTTGCCTGTGCGGAAGCTTTTTGTATTTGAATCAAAAAGAAGGGCCTCATCCGAGCCAAACCCAGCTAGTGGGGTGCACCTTGCTGAAGAACCCCCACTTGTTACGTCAAGTGAGTCGGTCAACGGAAAGGTGTATTTCCTGAGGCTCAGAAGTAAAAGGGGGTGCCACTCCATACCTAGTAAGGAACATGGGTGTGTTCCACGTGGAGAGGACCCTGGGAGGGTGAGCTGCTGGGAGCAGAGCAGGGGCCTGAGGGGGCGTCCACGTCAGTCACACTGGTGTACCACCGAAGGCCGCCAAAACGGGTTCCAAGCCAGGGAAGTTCTCAACAGCCCTTCTCCCTACCGATCCCCTAAAATTCCCAGAGCATCCGAAGCACTACCAAATCACATGCACACATTTACTTGTCCCCATGAACCCAAAGCTTCTGACATCCATTTGCCCATGGATCAAAATATCCCTTAAAACCCTGCATGACTGGAAATGCTGCCAGATCGCAAGCCGCGACGATTCCGGTGTTCAGTGTCACTGGCCTCCTCTGTGTCCCCGCCTAGAATGCAAAGTGCCGTGAGAAGAGGGTCCTTGTTTGTTGTGTCTCATTCTCTTCTGTGTCCCCAGCACCTGGCCGGGTAGGGGCTGAGTCAGTGCAGAGTGAGTGAACTGAGGGAGGGGGACCCCCAATACTCTTTGCTGGGCCCTGTCCTGGAGCTTCGGGGGCAGAGGAGGAAGAGAACCTCTGCCCTCAGTGGGCAGCCGGGCAGGTGGCACACGCCTGTCACCCCAGGCCTCGGGAGGCTGAGGCAGGAGGATCGTGAGTTCAAAAGCAGCCTCAGCAACTCAGTGAGACCCTGATTCTAAACAAACAAACAAACAAAAAACAGGCTGGGGATGTGGCTCAGTGGATAAGCACCCCTGGGCTCAATCCCCGGAACCAAAATAAATTTTAAAAAATCAAATGCTTTAGGGGCAAGGGGCTAAAGACTCTTAAGAGCAGCACCAAGGCACGTGACCCAAAGGAGACGTGGCTCGAAGTCCATTAGGGACAACTAGCGGGAGTCATTAACTTAGCTGAGAGGCCAAAGGGGTTAGCAGGGGCGACTTCTCTCGGGAGAAACTGCCTCAACTAAACATTAGCAAACGAAAGCTTGGGCAGCGTCCGAAGGTCAGACCCTCCACTGTCCCGCAAGCGTCTGGTCATTTACTTGGGTATTGTACTCGCAACCTGAGGGCAAAGTTGTGCAGCAGTAGAGGAACGTTGCAAATTCGTTCCTCTAACTTGAAAGGAATTGGTGTGTGTGTGTGTGTGTGTGTGTGTGAGAGAGAGGGGGGGGGGAATCATGTCCAGCACCCAAGTTAAACATCTCAGGCCTTAAGATAGCTTCTCTGCTGGTGACACTCTGAGGTCAGCACTTAACAGGGGACTAGAATGAAGAAGGGCCCAACCCTGGACCTTACAGCATCCAGAGAATAAGAAAGGACAGTTTAAACAACGTACACCAACAACTCTGACGACCTAAAGGAAACCACCTACTTGAAAAGTGTTACCCAACTATCGGAAAAATAAACAGAATAGCTGAACAGTCCAATTTCTTTCAGAGAAATCCAATCCGTATAAACTCCCTCACATACAAGCCTTCAGGCCCTGTTGGCTTCAGAAGTAATTCTACCAAACAACGGAGGAATGGATGAACCATTGTGTACAAGCTCAGGGGACAGAGAGAGAGGGACCCTTCCCATTGCGTTTTCTGAGCTCAGGATAACGCTGGTTTCCTGATAAGGGCATCAAAAGAAAAGAAAATGGCCTGGAATTGCAGGGAGCAGTGGTGTGCAGTCCCCTGGGCATCTTTAACTCCATGACACTCGGCTCAGAGTTTCCTTTTCTGTCTTGACTCACGTCACGATGTGCGGGAGTGATTGCAGTAATCATGGCAGCGGGGGAGTGCTGAGGCTCCAAGCCAGGGCCTCGTGCAAGCTACTCGAGTGAGCGCTCTACCACCAGCCACACCCCACCCTCCACTGATTTTTCAAGTACTTTCTCACTTCCCGTTATTCACCCAGTTCAGGGCTCTCTGATGTGTCAACTCACTTAACGCCCCCACAACCTTAGCTGGGAGGCGCTATTACTTCCTCCCTCTTTTCAGGGGGAATCATAAAAAGACATCCATTCAGGTCTTGCACATAAACTGATGCAGATAATTCTGTTCCTGGGCCTGGGAATATAGCTCAGTTGGTAGAGTGCTTGTCCTGCATGCACAAGGGCCTGGGTTCAATCCCCAGCACCACAAAAAAAAAAAACAAAAAACAGATAATTAAAACTGAATTCAGTTCCTGGCATTGTGCTGTCTGTAGTTCACAAACTACATCCTTTAACAGGAGTCCTAACTTTTAAATCTGTCTCTCGTAAACATCTAAGGGATTGGACAGTACTATTCGTCGGGCACTTTTACAAACGTATGAACTCATTCTGTTCTCACCCCCCTGAGGGCAGGGGTCACTATGTCCATTCTACTGACAGGACAACTGAGGCAGAGAGGAGGGAGAGGTGAAACCCAAGGCCTGGGAGACAGGCGGGCCCTCCTCCCTCTCCCCAGCACCCAGCCCAGAGAGGCGAAGGGGAGAGGTCCCTTCAGGTCCAGTCCCACGTGTTGGTCACCCCCGGAGCTGGCCATTCTGATTTCCGAATTGAGACCGTTTGTGGATCAAGCAATTGGGATTTTAATCATCATCTCCCAAGAGTGATGGAACGAGTCTCATATCCAGGGATGTTTGGTACAAGTAATAGGAAAGGAACTTCCCCAGAGGACAGAGTCCCCCCAGCAGCCGGGCCAGGAGTCAGCCCTGAGCTCCAGCCCACCGGCAGCACGACGCCCGGGGCGAGGGCGATTTCGGGGGTTCTGACCCACTCCCAGCCCCACAGCCACCGCCCCACCCCACACCGTCCCTGGGCCCCTCTCAGGTCACCCCACCCACCGCTGTGCCAAGCCCCAGTGCCCGAAGCAGGCTGTGCTTTCACCCGCCGGCTGGATTCCGCCTGCTCCCGGACCTCGGCATCCGGGACCCACTCGGGACCCACTTTCGCGTCTGGCCGTTCATTCGCTGTAATATCGCGATTCGCCCAATAGTGTCACTTATGGGCTCCGG